ACAGGAAAGAGGGTTTTTCGTTCCATGGTCTATTAACTGTCGATTATGCAACAAACCGGAAACCATTGAGCACTGCTTCATATACTGTAATGACGCAGTGTATTTTTGGGACGTTCTCCAACGAACACTGAAAAAGGTTATCGACTTCACCGACCACAGTATACGATTTCTCCCCGTTGAACAACATGAAGTTGTCCCTTACGATTTATTTATGCTTCTTGGGCTGCATAGTTTGTGGAAGTGCCGGATGATCGACAGAAATGCCGAACAGCCCCGTACGACCAGATCGCTTTTCATTGAAGAAGTAGCCAAAGTGCGGAGTGTGTACGAGGCCCGCCCACCGGTGCCAGATTGGTTTAGCCTCTTTGACGCGTGCTTAAACCTACCGCACTTTTAGATTGTGTAGATATGTAAATATTGCTGTTTAAGCGTTGGGTGAATGGTAAATTCTAGCCAATGTAACCTTTTACTTTGTACAGAACTAGTAAAGATGTGTGTTTGTCGCCCCACGTGATTCACGTGCGCGTGTGTGAGATTCTGGTGACTGGTGGCCTGTGCCTGTGCTCCATTGGTTAGCGTGTGTGAGTGGGACTCTACGTGCCATGGCGTGTGAGGTGGACTGTGACTTTTGGATCTTTTGTGTTGTTTGCGTGTGTACTGTTGGACTTGGCTGAATAGCTATTAGTAAATTTCCATTTATTAAAGAAAGAAAAAAAAGCGGTGGCGTAGCATAGCGGTTAAGGTGTCCGATTTGTACGCATGTGGTCGCGGGTTCGATGCGCGGTGGTGCAGCTTTTTTTTTTTTTTTTTTTCTCGAACATTTTGTTTTATCGAGGCATTTGGCGATATTTATGAGTGCGTATAGCTTTACTCTTATATAAATGCTGCCCTTGTTGATGAAATTCCCTTGGCAGTGGCAGTCAGACGTCATCTGATGGACCATCAGATGACGTCTGATGGTCCATCACGTTCCACCAACGCTGCTGACTGGCAGTCAGTGTCCCAAATTACGTAGCTTGATGGAATTTTCAATAGGGGTACAAAGTAAATGAGACGTTGTAACGTCCCATTTACGTACCAGTGTACTTAATAATTTACTTACACGTAAATTATTACGTACACTGGGAGCAACGTACTTGAAGTAAAGTACTATAAATGCAATGTACTTTCAAAGTAAAGTACAAGTTTTTTAACACAATCTTTCATGATGCCCTTTCATTCCCCTATACAGTGATTTTTTTGTAATTGGTATGCATTACCCAAGGGTAATCAAGGGAGCATGACCTCAAAAACAGCGGCGAATATTTGATAAAGTCAAGCGGCCGCAGAGTAGTTTTTTTTTTTTTTTTTTTTTCAGGAATGGAGTCAAATTCAGAAGACCCTCTTCTGAATTTGGCGCCCCTTGCACTGGATTGTTTCACCCAAGGGGGTTAAATGTACTAGGAGAGAGCATGACGTCAGCACCGTAGCTTCCGCAAACAATCCTCTCATAGAAAAATGCCCTCTCCTTAATAAAAAAATAAAAAAAAAATATGCAAGCGTGCTGGTGATAATTAATCATCATGTGACACCTGCAATTGAGGTGCGAAAAAAATTAAGGAACTTTCAAATAGAAGGAAAAGGCAAAAGAGAATGTCTCAAACCAACGTTCTCCTCTGTTTCCTCTTATACGTCGACATGGAAATTTAATTTTTTTTCGCACCACAGACTTAGTTGCTACATTATGATTAATTTTTCTCTCCTAATATTTTAAACCTCCTCGCTTGCGCTGACCGACCGAGAAGTAGCAAGAGTCACAAAAACCTACGGGAAAGCCGCTTCCAGTACAAACGAAGCGATGCGTCGTCTGCTCACGCTTCTGGTGAGAGCATATCCCTCCCAGTATTTCTTCGGAGTTGACTAGGCATCACTTCGGGATACAAATTTAACAAAACGAAATTTGGGCAATGCACTTTGAAGTCGGGAATTGTACTTTTCTCGGAAAGCAGCAGAAAAGAATACTTTAAAGTACAAGTACGTACTCAGAGAATGTACCTCAAGTAAAGTACAAGTTTCCTAAACCTAATTTAAGTAGTACTTTAAGTACAATCCGCTTAAAGTACTTCCCAACACTGGCCGCAGACGTGTTCAGCAGGACGCTACGTGCTTGTGCGTGAGTAAGTACTCACGCACAAGCACGCAAGTGTTTTTGTGAGACTGAGTAAATTGTATGTATGCTTTCTTTGTGAATAAACTTATAAGTATTATTATTATTAACCCAAAAACCCCACTCATACAGCGATATCTCGAACGGATCAAGCGATATTTTAGAGAAGTACCGCTCGATGTACCACTCGCCGAAGTGAAGTGCGCACACCCCGGAATTTTCCTGAAGATGCGTGCCTCCCCTCGAAATATTCCTGTCCCAGTGAGTGTAGAGAACTGGGTCCTTTGGGGCGGCGATCAACGTGTGTTTTTCTTTTGTAGACCTGTAGCCTGTCGTGCATCCTGGAACGAAGCAGTGCTTCGCTCGCTGCTTTTTCTTTACGCCGGAGGTTGACGGGGCAACGTCCATAGTCTCCACGTGTCACCTGACGGACGGGCATGCAGGAACGGTTGAAATAAATACACACGAGCGCTGAAGAACAGATGAAAGCGGGCGTGAAGTCGTCGCTACCCGCATTGCCGCACGCAAATCCCCGAGCCAGCTGCGCTCGCCTAGCATACACGCTGACTAGAGCGCCCCTGACGGTGATTTTCCAAACCGGCCGCGGCGATGCATGGGAGAGCCGGCGCGCTCGACACTCCCAACTCTCTAGCCACCCTACTGCCATCATCAATTTGGATGGAACAGCGCGGATATACAGACTCGCAGCGCTGACTAACAACTCAGTGGTATATTTCTTCTTCCTCAAATCGTCATCATCTTCTCCTTCGCCGTTAATGAGAACATTTTAAATGTTTAAACACAAGAAACCAAATAGCCAATATACATTAATAAGTAAATAATAAATAAATGAATGACAGCTAAAAATAAATAAAACTAAGAAAATTTTAAAAAAAGTTTAAAAACGTTTTTAGAAAATAAATTACAATTAAAAAATTAAACTTAAAAAAGTTCTCTTAACTTTTTAAATTTTATTTATTTTTAGTTGTCATTTATTTATTATTTATTCATTAATGTTTATTGGCTATTTCGTTCCTGGTGTTTAAAAATGTAAAATAAGGAGGAGAAGATGACGATATGAGGAAGAAGAAATATATCACTGAGTTGTTAATCAGCGCTGCGACTCTGTTTCCTTCTTGTGCGTCTGTGAGTGTGACTGTATCCGCGCTGTTCCATCCAAGCATGAATTACCAACTAGCCCAAGCATCCACATTATCAAGCCATCATCAAACTCGACGCTATTTCTGTTTCTGTCCCGGCTAGGCTTAGCTTGCTTGAGTCTCTCGGATGGGTGATTGCGCCACCTAGATATTGAATGTTGCCAATGGAACAGAATTTCGAAATATTGCGCACATACAAAACTATTAATAATTTTAGTGCGTCCTGGTTTTATTAAAGAATTGTTTGATCAAAAACTATAGTTAAAAGATGTCCTAAACTTACGCAGCTACATGTAATAATTTGTATGTGAAATTTAGTTGAGCAGTCACCGTGAACTGTGTATACTACCGCCATTTCATTCATTTATTTTTTTAAAAACGCCATCAAATTGAGGACGTATATATATTACCTGTAACTTTGTATCCTTCGTCCTCAATAAATCCTCGGAAGGACGTTTCTAGGATGATCCAGCGACTGACGTTCTCAGGAGGTCCTGAGGACGTCTTGAAAACCGTGAAGACGTTTGTACCTTTCGAGGACGTCCTGAGGATGTCGGGTGTTGTCTGGGAAGTTAAACATCACTCACTGATGAAGAAAAATACGCTAACTAAAGCAATTACAGTTTTAAAATGTTAATTAAGACACATACTATTCGGTACGACCGAAATAACCAAAGTGTTCCATGTTATTTTCCGGCGAAGAGACAAAATGCGCGCGCGCGTTTTCCCATAGGAATGCACAGGAGCACTGCAAAAGTAGACTGGATGATGTCTGCTTCAATTTGCGTCACGGAAGTCGCATAGTTGAACCTCTAGCGTAAATTATAATAACTCTAAGATGTAAATGCAGTACAGCTTCCAGCAGCATCAAGATCATTGAAAAAAAAAAAAAAAATATATGCACGAGAGATGCTGGAGACATTAACTATCGGAGAAAATGAGGAAACATGCGTCAGCTAGGGACGCTAGGGAGCCTTCATACACAGGCGCTACGTCTAGCGTCAGCGTGCCTGCAATCAATCTTACCACAAAAGAAAAGCAGTATTTGTGGTGTGTCCCGTTCCTATGAAGCTCACCACAAATGAGAAACGGTATTTGTGGTGTATCACTTTCTGCGGAAGTGTGGACTTTTCAAACTGGGATTGTATGTGGAATGGATGTGGCTTTTATTTTATTTCATTTCATTTCATTTCATTTCATAGTTGGTTTGTATGGCATTTAATAAGGCTCGCAGGCTGAGGAGGAAAGAAGAAGCACAAAAGTCCGGCGCAAATTCTATGTCTCTTTCTTCTATCTCTGATTTTTACGTTTTTCGTCTCCCAAGTTCAAGCTGGCCCTATCCTAGTGCTAATGATTCTGATCAAATTCAAAACCTCATTATTGTAATTGTTGCCGAAGTTAGACGTGGTGAACGGACCCCGGCGCATGAAGTTTATCCGTTTATCCCTTCTCGTTGCGAAAAGTTTCGGTTTGTGCGCCGAAACAAACCGGGACTGTAATTCTTTGTAGAAGTATATTGTGAAGGAACAAGTAGTACCCCGTAGTTTTAATTACGACGAGCTCTTTAAAAAGAACAATTGTGAATATCGATCGGCTAGACAACCGACGCAGTTCTCTTTTAAAAATAGATTGTCTAAACTAGCCAGACATCTGGCTAGAGGTCTAGCCACCCTGTCAAATTGCTCGACTCGGCTTGGCTTCTACTCATTGGCCGGCCGATCCAAGCATATATCCGACTTCACTCCCGTTTCTCGTTTCTACCGAAATGGGAGGTTCAATTCAGCCCTAGAGTAGCCTCTTTAAATACCACCCTTCGAAACATGGCACGGCCAGTCAAACCTCTAGGTGTATTTAGCTACCACAACTGCAATAAACCTTTCTAGCGGAGACTACAGCCGCCATCTTCGCCGCCGTGGTGTCTCGGCCGTCCTTCTTGGCCCCCAGCTCCGTGCGTGAGGTCGTGCTAGCGACATGTAGGCCTATTACACGGCTTCCAGATTCAGCTACAGCTGTTTCCAGTAAGTGCGGAAGCTATTTTACCATTTCCCGATGCATCGCGTGATTATGACCTGTCAGTTGTTGCGCAGCTAGTTGCAGATGCCTTGCATCGCCTACGCTCGGTTCACTCCTGTGCGTGCTTCGCGTGTCGATGCTATAATTTTGCTCTTCGCGATTGAAAGGAACGCGCTTTAGGTTGTCCGGTGTGCGCTCCCCGAATGCCGCGGCTGATCAGAAACGAATGCATGCGACTGATTGTTTGAGCACGTAGCTTTCCAGAAGCTAGGTTCCATCTTACAACACGCATGCTCTGCAGGGAAACGGCACTTGCAGGATGCTTCGCGTAGTACCACCACCATCCCGTCAGATACGGATCGCGGTGTTTCGGGTTCCTGTTAAACGTGAGCGATAAGTCTCGCATATGTACGAAAATGTGAGAGGCGGGAGGATAAAAAAAGCAAAACGATCGGATATTTCTGGCGACCATTGTTCGGAATACCGCATAGCTGTGTCAGTGTCCTAGCTCATATATTGCTATCTCGTCCCGCAATTCTGCTCTTACCTATGCGCTTTTGTCTTTCGCAATGTGCGATATTGAAGGTGTCTTTTTTTTTTTTTTTTTTATCGTGCATAGCTTATCCGCCCCCATTTTCTACCTACCGTGATATTTATTTGGTGTACGTGTTCTAAGAACTCGATCCATTCAGTGGCAGAACGCAAATATTGAGAGACGCGGTATTGTGCCGTTTAAATAGTGCAAACATGCGCCTGACTGTCGTTTAATATGGCTCTGTTACGGGAAATATAACTTTTTTGTAGTCATTTATCACTATGTTGCGAACAGTTTCACTCCTTTGTAGTCATTTTGTACTACTCTAAGTTTCAGTATTACTATGTTGCAAACGGTATAACACCTTTCTAGTCGTTTAGTATTACTATGTTTCAAACAGAGAGCACCTATGTAATTGTTTGGTATTTACTATGTTGCAAACAGTACATAACTTCTTTGTAGTTGTTTACATTACTCCGTTGCAAACAGTACAACAGCTTTGTAGTTGTTTAGTATTATGCTCTTGTAAACAGCAACTCCTTTGTAATCAAAGCAGTCTAAGAGAATCCAAATAGAATCCACCTACCATAATATACAATATTATCTGTTTTATATTATTTAAATGAAGACAGCAGATGGTCATTATATATTCTCCGTGATTTGGGTAATCACTGAGAATATGTATTGACCATCTGCTGTCTTCATTTAAATGATGTTTTCATGTTGACACTGATAATATTGCGTATTACGGTTGATGGATTCTATTTTCAAATAATGCTGGAACAGCTGGTGTATACCATGACCTAATCTGATCTCTCTGGTGCGCCATCTGGAAGTATACAACGATGACGTGTAGGTCTTTTTTGTTCTTCTCACAGAGGGAACATCTGTTTTAGTTTGCCGTCCATTTCCCTTGAAGTCATATTTGTGTCTCACCCGGCATATTTATGACAATCGAGATCACTTTTTGTTTGCTTCGTATGGCACAACAGCTATGTCAAATGCACAACATTTAGGAAGTTTTTTTAAGGACTTCTTAGATGTTGAGGTTTTTATTAATTTTAACCATTGCATTGAAAAAACTATAAAAATGGGTAGCGCCTTAAATTAAATTAATTAATTAAATAAGCAGTAGCTTTAGTATCACACTTCAAGAAACAAAAATTAAGCCACACAAAGAGGCCCTAACCAGTGAACATAACAGGTTGGATTGGAGGAGTCTGCTTTCGAATTGCTCCCTTCTCCAGCTTTAATAATACTGATTAGACAAGGTATATGCCTCAGTTTACATTGTTCAGAATAATAAATCTATAATTTCATTAGATTTTTTTTCCTTTGATGCATCATACTCATAATTGAAAAAATACCTATGTTACTAAGTTCGACAGAATGACTCTTAGTGCAATGATTGCATTAAATTTGATGGAGTATGACACTTGCAGATAACGCTGCTGTGTTGTATGCAATTTAATGTATAAGATGTGCATGAGGGTGACACACTGATTTAAAATAAGCATTTTTAGACCACCTGAGACTTGGTGTAAGAAACACGACGGACTTCTCAAATACAGCTAACCACTTTATTCAGTTCTCCCTCCTTTTATACAACCTGAACCCAAAATTGTCACCATAAAAAACACTCCAAACAAAGGCACCAAGGGGACACGTCTTGACTTCGCAACCACAATAATCTTAAAAAAAAAAAAAAATTACGAACCACTTTGAACTTACAGCTACACACACATCAAAACTTCGGCCGAAGGGAACAATTCTTTGACCTCGCAGCCACTCTTATCTTTACAAAAAACGAAGAAGCGAATCACCGGAACCGACTGCAGTTCAAACCCATCAACCTGTTACATCTTTTTTTTTTCTTCTACGTACGCATACAAACGGAACAAGATCAAGACAAAGGAGGTACCTCTGGTCAAAAACACAAGGCCTGTTCAATTCATACTCACAGAAAAGCTTTCGCCCTATCGCTAAGAAGCATAGACGCTTGGCTTATGCAATTGCCGATCGACCTAATTTTTACTGTCTCTTTTGCAATCCTTTTGACGTCATTGACATCTTTGCATACTACCGTTGTACCGGACCACTCGACTGAGCAGTATCTGCATTCTTGTACATATTTCGCAATTTCGGAATTAGTCGATTTTATCTTCACGTTTCTTTTGTGCTCTGTCAGACGATCGTTCAAGCATCTTAAGGTCTGCCCTATATACTTAAAACTGCAAGTCATCGGTATGTCATAAACGACACCAGTTTCACAAGGCACAGACTTTTCCCTGTGGCCTTAAAATTAACCTAATTTAAAACTGTTATATGACTTATGCATCTGACACAATCTTTTCACTGAATGCTTACTAGGCGTTTCACTTTCAGTATGCCTCTATTTGTGGATGATGTTACAAAGTGTATTTTTAGCCTCGGTTTTTCAATATACAGATATTTTTGTTTGTTTTTGCGACTAAATTTTTGTCCATCATTCTTTTTTTCTTTTATTTTTTCTAACTGGGCATTGTATTTGATATACAGGGTGTTTCTTTAAATGCAGGCCACATCATTCCTGCGAGAAGTTGGTATTAATCTGAAAAAATGTTAATATCTAGGGCTGGCATTTTAACCCAATTAATAAGCGTTTTAACCCAATTAGTTGCCCCCTTTTAATTGAATAATTAATCATTAATAAGCCTCTTTCATTTCTATGAGTTTGACAAGCGTCTTGAATCAACACTTAATACGAAGAAAGCAAAACACAAGCAGGGGACAGAGACAGGCATGTAGAAGAGACTGACATGCATGATATTTTTAAGAAGTCAAAATCACTTTTTTTTAAATAAATATTCAATAATTGGCATTATATAGGATTTTATATATCAACCTCAATGTATAGTTGAGAACAGTTCGAAGATACTCACGTTCGCAGATTATTACTTCAGCTTCGTAAGGCAAAAAGGTTTGTTGATATTCCACGGCATGAGCGATCGATCTCCTTTGGTTGTTCACAAGAGTATATCTGCTGCGCTAAGCGAACACTAGCACGGCATTGAAGTCACCGGCATTTGTAACCGTTTACACTTGTCTGGAGCTGCAAATCTCGCCTCTACAGTTTACTTTAGGTTAAAATTTGGACTCGCCCACGTCTGCGGGGTAAAAGCGTTTATTTTTTACTTTCTTTCGGTTTGTCAAAATGTTACCAATGAACTGTTTAAGAAAATTAATCGCAATTAAAGCATTCATTGATTATTTGGTAGGCTGATCAATCAATTGGCCAGTCCTATTTATTTCATAATAATCTTTGCCAAAGGGCACCTTTGGGAAAATAATTAACAATCAATATAATTCGTCTATAAATTACTTTCGAGTACTTCACTTTTAAATTTGGGAATCTATAGGTACGGTTTCAATTCGAAACTTGCTGAGGATCATCGAAAACCACTAAATCAACTTTTTCTAGAAATATAGAAGGCACATCAGCATTTGACAGCATTCTGATGAAACGCTGAATTTGGACATGTTTCTAAAGGGGAAGGGCAATGTGTGAGCGCACCGTTGGTGCACATGGGGGATGATGAGGTCCTTTTTATCAGGGAGAATGGCAGGCATGTGTGAGGGTGATGACGTGGTAGAAATCTTGTCGGTTGGGTTGTAAATTTTTTGTGTCTTTATCGGTTCTTTTCTATGCTCTGTGTTTATTTTTTTGGTTTGCCTGAAAATTAAACTTTAGTTGACAGTCAGCGCTTTGTCCGTGCACTTCTTTCACTTGTCCTTTGTTCAATTTTTTTGCGTTGTTTTCACATTTGACGGTGTTTCTAGGTTTCGGTTTTTTTATCGGAGGACGTCTTTGCACCGGCAGCAGGGGCATAGCAACCGGGGGTTGCTGCGCCACTGCTGCCGGCGGGAGTGAAGGGTGGGAGGTACGAAAGACATGAGGGCCTGGGTGCCGGATGGCCTAGCTGCGCCGCTGACCAACAGTCCTGCCCTCTGTGGCCGAGGCCTGCAACGAGCTAGTGCCACACTTGTTTCTTTCCTATGAAGCCTATGAAACAATAGCTGCATGCTTCGACCATGGGGGCAGGACCACTGGTGCAAAGGTGCACTCTGATAAAAAACTGAAACCTACAAACACGTCCAAATTGAGTGTTTTTTAGGACCACAGTAAAATGCTTTATGTGCCTTCTAGATTTCTAGAATCAGTTGATTCAGTGTTTTTTTTTATGATCCTCTGCAAGTTTCTATGTGAAACCATACTTATAAATTCACTAATTAAAAAGCTAATTACTGAAAAGTAATTCATGGACTAATTATACCAATGTCAGTCATTTTTTTAAATGGGTCCTTTGGCAAAGATCATTACGACATTAACCTTTTTTCAGTGCTATGCATATTCCTAGCGGTAGCAATTTGGCGCACGTTTCAAGAAACACCCTGTACCGTAAAATACCAGGGGAGCACTCACCCCACTTTCACTGAAAACTTGGTTAATCTAGACATATGCTCTTGTCTGGTCAAATCAGGCACTTAACATATAATTCACACAATTCCCAAGTTTGGGAAATTTTAATAGTGGGTGCTTGAACAAAGTAAGAGCTTCCACGGTATTTCACGGTATATTTAATATATATTTATGATATATACTGTAAACGACTTTTTTTCGCGGGCTCAATATTTGGCGGTTTAGGTCAAAGCTGAAGTTTTGGAATAATTCGTGGGTTCTAATTTTCGCAATGCGGCGGGATCTGAATATAGAATCCAATGTGTTTACATATTACCAAAATGGTTCGTGGGACCTATTTTTCGCGAATTGTAGGCGATTCGCATAATTTGTGAAAATTAGGTTTTCGCAAAAATTAAGTTGTTTACAGTACAGTTGAACCTCGATTTAGCGAAACCCGATTTTACAAATTTCCCAATTTAACGAACAAATTCGGATTCCCCGCGCAGCCTATGCGCGAGGTCTCTCTTCCTCGATTTTACGAAGGTCCCAATTTAACGAAGTGATTAGTGGGTCCCGGTGACTTCGTTAAATCGAGGTTCAACTGTACTTGAGGAGTATGTATATTCAAGGAGCAGGAATTTCTCGAAGAAATTTTTCAAAAGTGTCTTATTTAGAAACAATGCTTTTTAAGATGCTATCCTCTAAAGTAATGTTTCTCGTGTATGTCGACACGCAGGGGAATATGACCTCTTAGGTCGATATTTCCGATTTGCAGCTCGAGACAGTGTCTCAGTTAAGAATTTGCACGTGTGGTCAGTTATCAGATGGGATGGAATTGACATGAACATTTTTTGAGGATTATGCTAGATTAGGATCACGGTTAATCACTTTGAGGATTCATGTTTGAGCCTCTTAGTTAAAGTACTTCAGTTGTCCAAACATTAATAAGGACATGGCAACAAGAACACTTATCTACAAAGAGCCATCTCTCAAAGGGCCTTTTTCGGTTAGCTGTTGACTTCAGACACGTTTTGTCAGAAACTCATGCCTGCCTTTGTCGGAAATATCAGACGCATGCCCTCCTTGTTATGATACTACCTGGTCCACGAAAGCCTTGTCAGTTTCCGTCAGTGGGCCAATACCACAAAAAACAGGGCATTCGCCCGTTCTATAATATGTGCCCACTCCTTAATTTTGTAAAATTCGGAAAATACACGAAGGGCACATCTTTACATATGGTTGACCTAAGGGGGGCCATATCCCAGTTTTACCCGATCATCTCCAAGTTTGCAGTGGGCGTTTGCTTAGGATATTACGGTAATGTTGCACATCGGGACGAACACAATATGAATCGATTTGAAATTTCGGTAGCTTCCTGGCGTGGTTGCCATAATAATGTGGTAGCTCAGACTATTTTGTCGTGCCAGTTTTTCTTCTTTTAAAATTTTTGTTGAATTTCTTTCTGGGTGTCTTTGTAGAAAGCAGGCAGAGGCAAAAAAAACAATAAAAAAAAAACAGTCGCCCATTTGCCTTATTAGCGTGCCAAGGGCAATGATAACAAGGAACACAATGCATTAGTGTGGAGAAACTCTGTGAACATGTGGAGACTGGATGGCACGAAGTGGCCCTGCATGGCACAAAGTAACCGCGTGAGTGCTCTATGGATGTCTTAGTTGTGGATGCCATCTTTTGCTGTTGCAGTGTAAATGCTGCCTTTTCAGAGCCTGTTGGAGTAAGGCTTTATTCTCCTTACAAGTAAACACCAGGAAATCTATGACCTAAGTATAACGGTGTAGACGAAAACTAGCTGCTGCCTATGAATAACTGTCTGCCCTCTTCCCAGGCTGGGCACTGCAATCGGGCGGCCAGGATGAACATAATGCGCAAGCTACTGGTGGGCCACCAGGGCAGGGGCGGTGCGGCACCGGAGGAGGGTGCCCAGAGCTCCCAGCACACAGCCCTGGGGCTCATGCACCTGCACAAACTCTTTGCCGAGCTCACCCACCCGGCCCACCCGCTCACCCAACAGGAGCAGGAGCAGCGCCTATACAACATGCTGCCCCTCTTCTGCAAGGTATGTGGGACAGGAGACATGTTTAACAGCAGTCATAACTTGGAACTACGAGGCAGCTCCATCATGAATGACATTAATGGTGCCAGAAAAGCCTAGGGTACACATGCACAAGCTTTGTGCACTCTGGAAACCTAGGGCACATACACAAGCTCTGTGCTCTCGGAGTGAATTGGTACAATGTAGGAGCTTGTCTAATAGGGACATTATTTTCTTTCTCTGGCTTGATTCTGCACAATTACAAGATTGGCAGTGAGGAAGTGCACAGTGGCAACCTTGTGAGTTTAGCCATAATCCATATGAAGAAGGACAGCACTATATTGTAAGCACCTAACTGACATTGCCATAAAGCAGATCTCAGCATTGTCAGAGGCTAGGCGACACACAAATTAAAACTGCAAGGTCACAGCGTGTGCTCCACGATCGATGGGATTAAAGAAATTATAATGGCAATTTCAAATTTTTTTAAAAGAATGTGTTTTCGGAGACACTGGGGTCCTAACATGCCACTTAGGCTTTATTAGAGCTCTCCGACTCTTATTTTTGTGCTTGCGAATAGATTTTCTAAACTGAAACAAACATTCGAACGTGACGTCGACGAGCATCGTCGGTGTCGGTAGGATTTAGTGGACGCTCTGTGTGGTTCCTGCAGTTAGCTATTGGGCAGGAGATCGAACTATAGGGGGCGCTCTGACCCGTTTGTTTTCCCCACGCTCGGTGTTTACTCAACACAAGGCCCGTACACATGCCAACAGGCCTTATGGGCATGGCCATGTCATCTTGTACAATAGAGCGCGGGGCACAGTTTAATGTAAAAAATACTAACCATCGACGAAGCGACGTTAAGTGCCGGATCTATCTTCTGAGAATGCGAGCTTGAGGCACTTCGGCTTTTGTGCGGAGCTGAGACCGTGCATGCTGCATTGTTCATGCAGGCCGGAGTGGAAACAAAAGAGCCCCTCCTCCCCCTCGCCGGAGAACACAAACTCCAGTCGAACGCTGACGCCGCGTTCGGTTATGTCGGCCGAGCGCTGCGTCATTGTATTTGTTGTCCCCATCCGTGTAGTTGATAAGTTAACCGCTTGGGGCGTAACGGTCTGTCCTCCTCCCCAATAGTGCACGGCGGTTTGTAAACTGGTAAAATGGACAACAATCCCGCGCTTGCAGACAAGTTGTTTCCGTTCAGCGACCTCATGCCGACAGAACGGGAGAGGCTTCTCAGGATGCGGAACTCTGGATTGGCGCTTTACGAGGGTGCCCCAGACTTGCCAACGAATCCTCGGTCGCCGCCTTAGGGCAGGCGACTTTCCCAAATCTTCGGCCGACTTGCCGACGCTGTTGCAATGCCAAGAGTGCATCATTCGTTTGAACAAATCGCCCGACGAAGAGCCCGTTGCCGTCCTGCTTCGACGCCACGCAGCTCTTTAGTTCACGTTTCTGCCGCCGTCTAGGGGAAGGTCTCCGGCATTTCTTTCAGCAGGATTATTATCATACCTGTCTAATTGACTGGTGCGGCCCCCAAACGTCTGTTCGAACTAGAACTTGCTCAACAGTGACCAAAGACGTGCCTGACACCCATTCCAGTCGTCAAATAAAACTTCCAAATTACCTTTATGGCCCCTTTGACCAGCAGTATCACTAACAAAGAAGGGTGACGAGCACCGTGATTTTGAGCTTTTGGCGCTGCTTGGTTGGTCCCGTCAAGTTATAGTGCCAGCTGCATTCTTACATAGGGTCAGAGTATGGTAGGCGACATTACTTAAATGCTTTACATTGTAAAGTCGAAGAATAATGCAGCTTTAATCTGTTGCAAACTTTCTGAAATCAAGATATTCAGCTCTCTATATTTTAAAAAGTGATCATGTCATAGTCACTTGGCGTATGGTGGTGATATTCCTTTAATGACACGCATTATCAAAGGAAAAGCAGTCTTCACCACCATTTGAATATGAAATTTGGACAAGGGAATCACACATTTAATTTAGAGGTGTCCAGCATTCTAGTATCCTGAACCAGATGCCCTCGACCTTAAACAACAAAATATTCAGCATAAAAGGAAGCTTTACAAGTGCATCAGGTGCACCTATTGTTACTGCTAGCAGCTAAAGTAGAGGGTAAGCACCTCTAGCTCTGTAAAACATTCAACAAGATGATCTTACATGCACATTATTGCGCACTTCATGGTTACCTACCTCCACTTATGTGACAGTTAGCAACACTAACAGTGAAGTCATGGCAATGACATGCACTCATACAAGACTACAACACAGCATCATAGGTGCATAACACAGCCTAAATGTGACATTGGTACTTCTTTTTTCATCTTACTTTACAGGCTAGTGTCAAACATCCAATTTTAACACTGGAACAGACTAATAATGATGCCATTCTCTCCAAAACCACCATTTATTTTTTCTCTCTCTCTTTGATTATAAAAATAAAAGACTATTTTTTGACAATAGAGGACTAGGCTTCTCACACACCTTTATAAAGAATTGCTTTTTAGCTGGCATCCGTGAAATCTTCCTTTATCATGAATGTTCATCTATACGCGTCTTGTGTGCACTCTTTTTCCTCACAGGTCTTTGAGAACAGCCCTGCTGTGGATATAATTGACAAGTTCAGCGATGTACTTGCCTTCTCCAAGCTTGTGTCCAAGCTCATGGTGTCTGAGATTAGGAGGCGCGCTTCAAATCAAAGTACAGGTCAGTATTTTCAAGTGCTAACTCCTCCCCTCGAGTCTCCTATTTTCTAGACTGTGCTCTTGTAGCTGGCACACCTCTCTGCACTTCATCCAATTAGGGAGCATATAAAGGATTCCTAACGGCATGTGGAGAGTAGTATATGTTGTGGGAAGACAGATGCAAACCAGAACTTGTTAGTAGTTCCCCTGTTAAGCATAATTCATACACATTTTAATTAAAATCTTTAATAGGTTTTCAAACAAGCACCTTGTAAGCCGTCATGCCTGAGGTTATGCTATATGATAACTCAAGCAAATCGACAAAATTGCAACATTCATGATAGCAAAATATTCTACCTAATAAATATGCCTTGACAGCCACAAAATACTTTTTTTTTTACTGTTTTGAATGGCTGATAGTGTTGTTTAGATACCACCATCAAATTGGAAGTCTGGGAGCAACATAATATGCTAAATTTGCTATGAAAATAATATAATTTCATGAAGAGGAATTCGAAATTTTTGTGCAATAGATGATTTTGCGGTGGGGTCTTGCACTATGCACTTTTATCTCTCTTTTCTTGCTGGCTGTTTTTCGATGAAGCATTGTGTCTCACTTCTTCCTAGCAGTCCCGCATGAATCTACATAAGCAGTCTACATGTTGCTTTTTATTTTGAGGATTTTTTTTACTTTGGGGTTGTGCAAATATTCTAATTTTTGAATATGTGGTATGTTTTCCGATATTCGCTCTGAGATGAACTACAATACGCATATTTTTTAAAGTGTTTATTGCGGTGGGTTAGTGTGGGTCACTGAATCAGGGTACATGCAAGTCAAAATATAGAGCATTGAAGTAGGAGGTGGAAGCAAGCAAGAAACACAAAGCAACACAAAAGAGCCGCTTTTAGGGTGTGTCTGCACCTGCACAATACTGATGTGGCCACACAGAACAAATCTACCGCGTGCTAGATAAAGAAAAATATATTTACTTCGGCGGGGTGTTTGACGTGTTGAAGTCCCCGATCTCGTCATATTGTAAGTTTGAGTATGAGTTGCGAAGGTAAGAGCTTTGCTAAAATAGTCATTGTTTACCATCTTGTTAACAGTAATAGCCGCACAGAACAACGGTTTGAGAAAAGCAGTGAAAAAGTTGAGAAATTGACGAACGTTGTGGTGCCCAGTTTAGAATGCGAAAGCATTGACTGCCTCATGGAGTGAGCTGACATTATCAGCTTTAAAACCACGCCAAACCGCTTTTAAATACTTCTCCAAGTCAAGCCAGCTCCCAGCTATGAAACTGTAACCACTTGCAAAGCTAGCCACGGCACCTTTTACGCAGCTTCAATCCCATTGGATAGCGCGCGAAAGTCCCCGAAACCCAATGCCCGTAAGCACTCCCGTCAACAACTCTCCTTGTTGCGAAATGAGAGAAAGTCTCCAGGTATTTTTGATCTGAATGGCCATTGATGGAACATCGACCTGTTGGTGTGAACGCATTTTCACACTCCCAGTTCTTCGCTCTTCTGCGCAGCGATGTTCCTAAATCTATGGCAATGTCCCTTGCTGGCATAGCCATTGGTGCGGTACGGCCAGTTTATAAGTCTCCGTCCCTCTTTTCCTAATTGGATGCAGAAAGCGCGAGCAGCGCCATTGCCCAGTTCCTGGAGATTGAGAGCACGGAGGAGCAGAGCCGGGGCTGGATGCTGCTGGCCAGCATGAACCTGCTGGCATCAGGTGGCTCCCAGCTGGTGGAGGTGATGACCTCCAGCGCCCTGCCCTCCACCCTGGTCAAGTGCCTCTACCTGTTCTTCGACCTGCCCGAGCTCAGGGACGCAGACCGGCTAGACCCGCACTGCGAGTTTACCGCCCGCGAACGCCGCATCCTGCTCCAGAAGGTCTTTGTGCAGGTGCGTCCAACGCGTCATTGGACGTAAATCGATTCGTGCACGGATTGATTTTAGGAAAAAATGTATCGATTAACTCTGTCCGTGAGAAGCACAGAGGGGAGAAGTCGGTAGAACTGTAGTTAAGTGAAAGGTTAAGATAGTTAGCACGACTCCCATCTCATTGAGTCTACGGGACTATCTCTTCCGTTTCAAACACTTTCTCTTGCTACCCAGCTGAGCGCGAGCTTCAAGTCTTTTGTAGCCCTTCGTCGCATGCCACAGCCTGGCAGAGGGCGACGAGTGCGTACTAGAGGCAGAGCATCTAATATTGGACTTTTACCCTGTCACTTGCAAAAGGAAGAGTCAGAAGATTAATGCAGCTGTAACTAAGTGTCTGGTGGGCCGCAATCATGCCAGAAAATGATGTGTCACTCAATCGAGTATCAGGTATAGAAAAACCAGTAGCTGGACATGGGTTTTGTTAAGCCAATGGCTGACACAAAGTAAAGTTTGCTAGCATGGCCTTACTTCCAGATAGTGAAAGGTACAGTAACCAAGTGGACCTCAGGTATAGCATAATCTCCCCATGTAAGGTAAGTTTTTTTGTTTTTTTTAACAGCTAGCGTTATTTTTGGTATTTGAGATGCCTTTATTGGTAGTACAAGCATACTACTTGAACTTTGCTTTACTGTATTCATATTTCTTTTTACTCTATCTGTCCCTATTTTAGAGAGTCCCTACCCGTAGAGTGGTTAAACAGAAAAAAATGATGCGTAACCATGGCACCGGCCGAGACAAACGAGATCTTGCGCTAGTCGTCTCATTATTCAAATTTTTTCGTCCTTCACGCGAGAGGAAGGGGCGTCCCCCAACCTCCCACCCTTTGAAGGGGAGAATAAAGCGCTTCCGTCCGGCCGCAGGTCCTGGTGCGGCTGTGCAGCCACCCCGCCCCGGCCGAGGAACTGGCGCGCAAGGACGACCTGACGCTGCTCTTCAGTGCCATCACCACCTGGTGCCCGCCCTACAACAATGTGTGGCGCAAGAGTGCCTCCGAAGTGCTCATGACCCTCTCCCGGCACGGACTCACCGCTCCCGTCGTCAACTACATCCATAGTAGGGCGTCCCCTTCTCATTGCCTCTCTGTCCATGGTACCACTTGAAATGAATGACTCCGGGCTGTTGCTCCTCTTTCTTTTTTTTTTGTTTCGGTCTCGTTGTAGTTAATGTTTGCTCTAACTTCTTGTCGGGCCTTGGAGAATGAAAAGTCTGTGAGAAAGATAGGTGTATATTTTGAAGGAAATGTAACTTAAGGTACCTTCGCAATCAGGCTCCCAAAAGAGTGTTACGCATTTGTTTTTTTACACCGTAAAATACCGGGCAAGCGCCCACTCAAGATTTTGAGATAATCATGAAAAAATGGGGGATGGGCACTTGTCCAGTCATCAATTTTACATATCAATGTATTGTGCATATTTTCTCAGATTTTACAAATTTGGGAATTGTCGCTTAATGTGGTATGAGTGGATGCACGGTATTCTATGGTAGGTTTGTTCTTGGTAAGGATTTATTTGAATTTTTACGATTTCAAGTAATGTCCCATTTTCAATCTCGGTAGAACACCGTTTCTGTCTAATCGTTCTAAGTAAGGATTTATTAGAATTCTTGCGATTTTAAGCAACGTCCTCATCTCGCTCCCAGCCACTGGGTTGGAACGAGGTGCATATAGTACAAAATTTTGTTCCAGTTGAATGGCTGGAACGAGAAAGTGAAAACGTTGGCACACCTCGAGTTCACGTCCGAGGGTGCGAGATTGCTAAGAGGAATGCCCCTTCCCCCGCAGGCAAAGGCTGCGTGGCACTGTGTGTGGAGAATGTGCAGCGGGTGCAGGAGCTCTCCCCCTTGGAGGTGGTAGAGATGTTTGTGACCATCTTCTGCTTCCTCAAGGACTCGAGCGAGGTGTCCCAGCTGCTGCTGGACGACTTCCGCTCCTGCCAGGGATACGTCTTCCTCTCCGAGTTTCTCCTCAGGTGGGTCGGCGGCGGGCCGCCTCCCCGCATTCCTCGTTGGCCGCTGAGCCTGGTGCACTGCATACCGCTACGTAACGGAGATGCGGTTGTGTCTCGTGAATGTGAACCCCATTGATACGAATACCCCAATACAGTCAAACCCACTTATAATGAACGCGATAGTTCCGCGAAAAGTGGTAGTTTTATCAGTAGTTTGTTATATCTGGACTTACCTTTAAATGTGTTATAAAAAAGAATAATGAAGCTGGTATTGATAGTTTCACTCTGCCAGCTCTTTATTTAAAGGAACTATTTGCACGACTCTGACTCGCCCCCAATTATAACGCATAGGCAGATTTAGCTTTCGGATAATCAAAAAGTAAATTGCTGCCGATTCTACCGCGCTAGTAAAATAATGAAGATTGACCACATAACTCATAAATCAGATTTTATGAAACGCACGCCAACATAAAAATAAATGCCGTGCACTAGTCTGTTGATGGTTCTTCGCTGTCCACAGAGGTAATAGACTACTTCCATAAAGCCCTGCATGCAACACGGCGCGCGTTGCACTCTGGGAACTAGTTGGCCAGGGAGGAGAGTGGCATGGTTTCGGTTTCGATCGACACGTCGAGAGCGTGGACTATTAACGGCCGTTATCTCATGTTTTCTGGTCCCGAGAGCGTCATTTGTGGTCTCTAAACTAACCTAAATGGCCAGGCCTCGAAGCTTTAGCACAAGCCCAAGACGTATAGCTTGTCTTAACACATGATTGTTGTATTTTTGTACTTGAGCCTTCCTGTTAGTGTTTCGAGGTATGTAGATGAGCCAGTGCTGGGAATCTCGACGCTGCGAAGCTCGGGGATCTTGTTTATGTACGAATCAACAAGCTGTAGCACCCAGTAAGTACACATATATCGAGCTCGCGCCTTTACATTAGTGTTGTTGATCAAGAAGTTTTTTGTTTCGTGCCTCCATAGACGAAATATTACTTTTTGCAATTACGGTTTTCTTAATACGCCTGAGTACGCGAGGCAAAACTCGGAGGCGCCATTGTAAAGCTCAATTTCAACGCAAATTCTTATCTCTTATCTGTACTGACGCGCAGCACTGCACGAAGCGAATTCCCCACCTACTTCCATTTTACTAATATTCAACATCTCGTATGCGCATAACGTTGTCCTGCAGTCGTATAGGCACATTTGCACATACAAATCGCTGTAAGAAAGCAGATGTCGAGCACTTGTGTGAAAAATGTCGCACCGTTCTCCAGAAGTGCGCCGGACCGGCATGAACCCCTAGGTTGCGCGCCAAACGAACGAAATTATTCAAAGCGCATTTGACTGTTACTTGTGGCCATAATATTTGTTATGTGTTTGCTTTCTTCCTGCCTGAGTAGGCCGAGATAATTTCAGACACACCATTCAGGCACAGATCTTGGGCGTCAGTAAAACCTCGTCCAAAAAGGCTTAGCGAGGAGTAGGGGGTGCTTGTTAGGGCCTCCGCCGTAGCTAGCCGATCTCAGCGTTTGCGAAAACTTAATCTTCTATCAGCTTAAAATTTGAGTGGGAGATATATGATGACACGAGGGAGACATCATAGTAAGTTTGGTGCAGTAGTGAGGTCGAATTTATTGCGTTTCCTTAAAACTTCATTCGTCAACACTGGGCACAACTTTGATACTCCTGTGAGGATGCGGCTTCCTTTTCGCTCAGTGAAGTAACAAGAGGCAGACGTTTGGCAAAAAAAATACATGCAAGGCTCCAGGTGACCAAATTTCAGTTGTAGTTCACTGGTATTAGACGGGATTATTGAAATTGAACTAATGGTAAGGTGACTAAGCCACGTCTTACAACGTTTGCATACGCACTCATAATATCCGGTGTTTCGGGAACCAAGGAAAGTGCCCCGGTCTTCGTTTTGTATCGCTTGACTATGAGTGTATTGTACGTTCGTGAACAGTCAGATAATCTTAAACGTAAGCAGAGCGTTCGGTCGCGGCGTGATAGCATGAGATCAGGCTGCTCAGTCGAAACCAAAACTGAGTGGCCAACTAGTTCCCAGAGTGCACTGCGTGGTGTTTCGCCGCGATGGGGCGCGTCGGTTTTGGAAGAAGTCCATTATACTTGCTTTGGTCTAAAGCTTTCAAAGCGCCATGCTTCTTGTGCATTTATGAGTGTGTGGCCGTCGCCTCTGGCAGGGTCATCTTTCAAACAACACTTCGCGAGCTCGTTGGGTGGCTGGGATTGCGAGGCCACGCAGTGCTGCTTTGTTGTTATCTTTTTTTACCAGCGTGATGCCCTTTCGTTTATATACTGTATTTACTCGCACAATGAACGCACCCCCCAAGTCAGCTCTCAAAATTTTGACTTTTTTTTTTCACTCGCATAATAAACGCACCCCCACTCAGACTTCAAACTTTTGACCCCCTCCCCCCGCGCGCGAAATGAACGCGCTTTTTTATCCTGGTGCAACGAGGTTGCGAATGCATAGGCAGCCTGGGCGAACAAAACGCCTTGCAAAAGGCGTTAAAAAAATTCGCAAAGATCCAAGGAAGCAAGAAAAAAAAAAAAAAACAAGGAGCTTTTTTTTTTTGCACAGCGCAGTCTGGAGTTTGGGTTCGGGCGCTTCTGCCCGCAAAGAGGCAAGAAAGAGAGGCGCTCTAAGCGAACGAAACAGCTTGCGAAAGGCGGCAAAGAGAAAAAACAAACAAAAAAAAAACAACGGAACAAAGAGAAAACAAAAAAAAAAGAGGAGCTTTTTTTTCTTTTTCTTTTTTTTTTTTTTTTTGCGCAGCGCCGCGCGCAAGGAGGTAAGAAAGAGGAGCGGAGAAGCCCTCTAAGCAAACAAAACAACTTGCAAAAAAAAAAACGGAATTGAGAAAAAAACAAAAGAAAAAGAGGAGCTTTTTATTTTGCACAGCGCAGTTTGGTTACGGGGTCGTGCGTCTCCCCGTGGAGATAAAAAAGATAAGCGGAGAGCCCTGCCTAAGCAACGCCTAAGCAAACAAAACAGCTTGGGAAAGGCGGCAAAAAACCCCCAAAAAAACCAAGGAACTAAGAGAAAAAGAAAACAAAGAGGAGTTGTTTTTTTTGCACAGCTTAGTTTGGTTACGGGGTCGGGGTAGGGTCGGGCGCCGCGCGCAATGAGATAAGAAGTTACTTCGATTTTTCAGGATAAAAGGTCAGTTCATTATGGGAGCAAATAAGGACGCAAAAATTTTACTTCACCTAATGAACGCCCCCCCCCTCCCCCCCCAACTTTGCATCATTTTTTTGGAAAAAAAGTGTGTTCATTATGCAAGTAAATAGGGTAAAGCCTCCCAGTGGATTCCACACCCCAATCTTGGAATGATAGGCACGAGTCCGTAGACGCGAAAGAATGTGCATGATATGGATACCAAAATGGCGAACATAAACAAACGGTCATGATGGCGATGGGACTAACCACCTTATACCGAGCATTGAGTTTTTCTTGAGTTTCGGTTTTTGGTTTAGATTATAATGCGCTTGTAGTTTTGGTTACCAACTTTGGCGAAAAAAAGTACACGTTAGAATTGTGCAAACACGGTAGTGATCGCTGCTTGCTTTCGCACCGTAGTGCGCTCAACTGTCTTCCCAAGGTTGTCTAGGTGGCACGCGTATTCCTCCGAATGTCGTCCTGCAAAAACGAGGTCCTTGAGGGCTGTGGTGTACTCCGGAGCGAATGTCACGATGTATGCTCACTTTGTGCCAATCTGAATTGCTTTCGGTTTCTCGGGCATGCAGCCTCCAGTTTCAGACATTGTGCCAATTGAGACGTACTGAAAACAAAAAGAAACTGCCGCTGCGGCTGTTTCCAGTCTTCACCTTTGTTGAACGACGTCATGCTCATTGACATGTCTCTTCCAATGGGAACTTGAGAGTCAACTCTTCGTAAATAAAAATGTAAATATATTGCGTCACTCCTTCACATAACAGTCAGCAAAGAGTGGGGCACAAGGGCTACTCAGAGGCGTCAGAGTTAGCCGTGTGACGGCTCGTTGTCGGCGTCGATGTGAGTCCGCGTGCTCTTTTTCGCGTTCGAATTGTTGATTCTACGTCTTCCTGGGCAATGTCTGACTGCTTGAGAGGCCTCAGCGAAATTACCGCGGCTCGTTACACCGCAAAACCTCGCGTGAATAATGTGACATACGGCGATTCATTCAGCGTGGAAGCCGCAGAATGTATGCTAAAGCCTGATTCGCATGATGAGATTTCGCTCGCAGTTTTCAGTTGCGACGTCGCTCGGGCTGCAAAAGTGTGATTCGAAGCTGAGATGGTCGACGTCGAGACTGAAAATCACAAGCAGAATCGGACCAAGTGAATCAGGCATATCAAGTCGGTGACAGCCACTGGTAACAATGATCAACATCTCCTTGTATCTACTGTTTACATCGAGCCTGCTTACCAACCGTCAAACTTAAGTCTTTTGAGGCCTGTACTTACTTCTTATCGCAAGTACCGGGCCAACATTTGGCCTACGGGCCGGTGCCGTCTAAAAGAGCAGACGACTAGCGGAAACGTTTGAAAGAGCAGGCAATAGTTCAAACGATCAGGCGTCTGTTTGAACTTGAAGACGCACTGAACATAGTCCGCAGGTGGTCCGTACAACTTGACGGTTTTCTGGCGTTCATTTTAGAACAAAACAAAAAAATGATATGAACATAAGTATCCATGAATTCAACCCAAAGTGCTTCCCACCCAAGCAATCGTGGTCCTACGGCGCCTGGTTTTCCCTTCTCACGGCACATATCCACATTCTCGGACGAACCGAGCACATCAAAACTGACCTTCAAACCTTTCTAGACTCTTCTGGTACAGTCTCAGTCGTGGCTTTTGACAAGAAGGCAGGTTTTTATTTGGTTCCTGTCAAAACAACGCAGGAATACACGTCTCACATGGTGACTTGCGCCCCCAGCCCCAGACCGGAAGTGCGCCAAACGCGCCACCACCGCGCCATGACGTAACAAAGATGAGTTTGTGTATAAACGCGCTGATCTTTCGAACAATTCACTGGAAGACTGATGTAACAACACCATATTTTTGAAGTTAATTTACTTGCATAAGCACTTGCCAAAAATAAGAACGTCAATGCTGGGCAGATGCACTGACACCCTCTACCAAAGTACCCTAGAACATACAATCAAGCTCACTTATTACAGACCTCTCTTTTATGCAGGATGTGTTTGTCATATCTGTAATAAGTGACCACTTATTCACAAAGTGCAAGACTTACATAGAATCTACTCTTCTGCTATGTATGTATGTTCTAACAGGAATGCGAGTACGTATGTCGTAAGTGGCACTGTTAAATATGAGTGGCACTGCTTTTTGATAATTCAAGCTCCAGATATTCTTTTACCATTTTATTATTACCAGTAGTGAGTGCCCCGGCATGAGACGGCGGTAGAGATGTGGCAACTCGGAGACATCCATCGGACAAGTTATGTTCATCAATCCAGTGCGAGTTTCCCACTCGAGGAAGACTCAGAGAAAGAAGACCAGGTGTAATCTAGTGGCCAAAAGCATCTTGATAAGGAAATGAAAGAGGAAGATGACTATAAACAAGGATAGATGGAACACAACAATTTGTCTGCGCGATTTTATAGACGCATGTTCTCTCGTCTTTTCTTTCCTTCTGCAGACTGGAGCAGAACAGCTCACAGGAGGCTTGTGAGGCCCTGAGGAACCTGGCCGTGCTGATGACGTCGCTGACCACCTGTGGCTACTTTGAGCTCAAGCCGAGCCAAGCCAGCACGGGGTCCCTTTTCCAGATCCCAGGGTTCACACTGCCACAACCCTCGGGAAAAGGTGCAATCCTCCACCTTCCTTTTTGCCTCTCGTACATCTTGGAAACACAGTGCCCTTCTGTGTGTTGCTGCTTTATTTTTTAAGTGGTCGTATCCAGGGGCACACGTGGCCTTAGTACTACACTTTATTCACCCCTAAGCTGACAGTGTGGTGGAAACTGGGTGTTCATTGGACCAGTCATACATCCATTTTTAACCATGTGATCACACTTTCGCCCAAAGCCTCAGGGCAGTCAAGTTCGATGAGACTCGTCGTGCCATCTGGCTCAAAATATTAACAACACTGGGAAGGCCCTTTTGCCAGCCTGTTTGCTCGTGGGGCTGTTCATGCATCACTTTGAAGGTATTGATTCGTGCATTTTTGGTCTTTTATTCTTAACGTTGCTATCAGATGTCGCAGAGGAGCAAACGTTGAAGCTGTAGGTACCGTTGCATACCAAACTTTTCCAACCCCCGAAAGCTTAGCAGGCGTGAAGCTCCGCAGGTTCCCGTCGAGGCTGTGGAAAGTACAACGCGGTCGGAGATGAATGAAGGCCGAAAGACGTGTAAAATAAGCATTTTGTTCACATTGCCTGACTTGAGATAGATATCTAAATGTGCTATTTGACTCTATATTTGGAATTAAAGTGATTGAAGCCCGGCGTTGTCTTTGGATTCGATGCAATGACTCTCTAGCGTCGGATCAGTCCTTTGACATTTTCACTGCTCTCTGCTCTTGGGACACATCAGGATCGAGTGACGTTTTGCAAACATTTGAGCATATAGTTACCGGGGAAAGCGTTTTCTTTGCTTCACTGGTTGCAGTGCGGTCTGTCGTTTGCGCCTTTGGCGTGATAGCATAGCTGCCCAAGATGGTTAATTGCTCGATTTCGACCAGTGTTTATGCAGTTCTAACTTCATTCCTGCTTCAAGAAGACAGTCTACTCAAAAAATAAAAAATGCATTTACCCCACGAGAAAAGGCTATCAATGCGGTGTTTATTGGTGTTCTATGTAGAAGAGAATACCATATTCCATAGACGAGAACGAACATCAGATTGCGACAAGCTGCTACATACGACACCCATCCAAACTACAACCAGGTTGCACGAAAAACACATTACTCGGACACCACAATCGTCTTCAACATGAGGACGAGGGAGACAACAAACCAGCTGACCACAGAAATGAGGTCTGCTATGCATGCGGGAAGAATTCACTTGGAATAAAAGGGTAGGTGAGGGGTGATTGAGGGAGGGGAGTGGGGAGTGCACACTCTTAGTTCTGCTTTTGTAGAGGAGGGAAGCTCGAGGAAGCGTTTGCTTTTGTTATTTTGAGCCGTGCACAAGCAACATAAAAAAAATAGAAGAAAATTGCCCTTGTCTACTTGCTTTCACTTAAATTTGGCCATAATATCAGGACTTTCAATTTTATTCTGCTAGTTCCCGTTTTGGGTTGTCGGAACCTTACTCAAACTTTCTAATGCTAGAACCACACAACCACAGACACATACACATTAATATATTTAACGATACATTTTTAAAACAGTTGGTAGTGTAGTGCACGACAACACAACGCTAGAGTTGGTAACAACATATCTCGCGAGGGTACGCCAATGGCTCTGCCGATTTTAGCCGTCCCAGTGTTGCCTCATTTGGCCACGGTGGTGCTGATGATCAGTCGATGGTGTCGCGCTCTGAAACCCTGTCCAGCGCCCATATCCATGCACAGAAAACGGGGTCAGGTGATGAAAGGGAGGCGGTTGATTGGACCGGCAAGCATGTAGTTCCCACTGCACCATCAGATGAGGGGTGAACGGAGTATAGTGGTGCGCCAATGCGGTTCACACGTATGAAACCACAGGATACAAATGTTGAATATACATTTGGGGTAATACACTAGGGAGAATGCACAGTCAGAGCACATCGGAAAGCAGCAAGCGTGCACTGCGAATCTTAGGTTGTGACAGGCTATGTACAGTCTTCAGAATAGAAGTACCAACCAAACTGGTTGGCTCATGGTTACACATGCAATTTGTTGATAGTTGCGATTCTTCTGTATTTTGAAAAAATAATTTTCATCAAACATCAAAAAGTGTTTTATGGAGCTTGTTGTTCTGCCAGAAATTGCAAGTTTTACTAATTAAGAATAGGCAAGATATATATACAGTTGAATGTCGTTAATTCGAACTCTCTTAATTCAAACTTGCGGATAATTCAAACTAACATACAGGTCTCATCCTATGTGTCTCTGTGGGAGGAAACTCCCGGTAATTCAAACTCTGCTTTATTCAAACAAATGTTCGGTCCCCCTTGAGTTCGAATTAACGAGAGTTGACTGTATAAATATGTAAATACATATATATATATATATATGTTCTATATATATATATATAGTTTGCACAGTATTTTGAGGGATCTCTGGCACTATTGTTGGAGATGGCCGAAAACCTCAGAAAAGAAAATTGTATGTAGGAAGTGCTGCGTATTTTGTTCCACGAACACAACCTATTGAGCCCAAACAACGGCCTGTGCAACCCCAGACACTGGGAGGGGAGCGCCGGAATGTGTGTGTGTTTGGGGGCGGGAGAAGGAGAGAGAGAGAAAGGGAGGGGGGAGGGAGAGAGAAGCACAGGACAGGATAGGGTGCCTGGAAGCCACAGACTGGGTGTGGTTGCACACCAGAAAAGACGCTTCTCAACACCAGCTGATTGTATAAATATATCCTTGTATTATCCCAATTTAACTGTTTAGGTTACAATGGGTGTTATACGAATGTTACAAAAAGCGTCTTTTCTGGTTTGCCACCGACCGCACCCAGGCTCGTCTCTCCCCTCCCGGTGTCTGGAGTTGCATCATGTTAGGTGGGTGTTCGCTCACAGCGAACACCCACCTAACACACATGACAGGAAGCTTGGACATTTAGTACTTGGATTGACTTATTAACGATACTGTATTGATTCCCACTAGTTTCTGTGCAATTCAACTCTCCTTTAGTTCCTGAAGTTTCCTACAGTGTTTCGGGTGGATGGTCTTCAAAACTCAAAAGGAAATACCACTGATCTCCACTAGGGGGGGCTGGATGGCGCAGTGAACAAACAGGTATGAAGCCACCAGAAGTAAGCGGCTTGTCCCGGAAGTTAGCACTTGGCAGGCTTTGTAACGTTTCCGAGGGCTGGTTTGAAAAGCATCGAGGGCACTAGATTTCAGCTTTTCACCTCAAGAGAGCCTGCTTGCTGCACAGTAAGAGCGCATGCAGACCCGAGAAGTATCATGGAAAACCATTCAAAGTAAACATTTTGAGATTCTAGTTGTTGAAGTGTGGGTATGTCCCAAGTTCAAATGCCTCATTCTCGGTACTGAATCCAGGTCGGTAGTATTAAAACCCCATCAAAGACACAAAAAAAGCATGGTCCAAAATATTGACTGAATGCACTAGGAAGCCCAGCGCATGCCCGACTTCCGGGACAAACATCGAACTTCCGGTGGCTTCACTTGCACCAGGCTTGGACAGCAGCTAAGCGCAATCCAGCCCCCTGTAATAGAGATCAGCGGAAAATACTTTTCATCTACAGCCTCCTATAAGCAGCTGCTGGTCATCACGTCAGCATCATAGGATAGCAGAGATCATAATCGATCACAGGGGTGGCCAGGCTGACATTCGAAGAGCCATAAAATGGAACCATTGTAATTGAAAGACTGCAATTTTTTTTTTTCTTTGTGCTTAGTTGGTGGCCAGGGCGAATTCTATTTATAAAGTGATTGCTCTGTATGTTGCCTTATTGCAAGTTTCCATTTCAAACAAGTACCTTGTCTGATTTGCATAGGATTGCACATAGCTGACAAAGCTCTAGCTGCCTTTTTTTTTATATGTCTTTCTTTTTACAGCAAAGCTGTTAAGGGCTAGTTTCCCTAGGATTGTGTCCAGTACCAAACAAATGTCGACACCTGTGGTCGACACAACACTTTGGTTGCCGCTGTCGCTCATAGATAGTGGTAGCTGTCCAGAGTGATGTGTTTGCCGGTTGTCTGCTTGCCACCATCGCTCATAGATCGCGGCAACCTTTCCAGCCTCGGCAACCACACAACTAGTTGTTGCCGTCGCTCGTAGATGGCGGCAACATTTCTTCGGAGGAAGAAGCCCGGGAACCGAACGAGCGGCGATGTGCGCAGCAGTGCGAATGGTTCCGCAACTGCCTTGAGGCCGCTATCACATAAAGTTCCACTGCGTCGAGCGCTTCAGATTCCCTTGCGAAAGATGTGCAGATCGCTCGCCTGGAAAGCCACCGCCGAGAACAGAAGCTACAGTTCCAGAAAGTACTTTTAATTTGAGGGGTGGGGGTGGTCGTAGGTTTACTATGGAGCCAAGAGCCACACTTGAATTCCCGAAGAGCCGCACGAAGTTCACGAGTTTGGTTTAGCCACTCCTGGCTTACAAGATAATGACCTTCTTGTATCATGCCTGCTGATCGATCACAATGGATTTTTCGTTCTTTTGTTATGATGTAATGTGTTAGTCTGAAACACCAGGCACCCTCTGAAAAAGCAAACTGTCAGAAGGCCTGCATATTGCACACCTAAATCTAAATTATTAAAACAATTTACTAATAAGCATTCTTAATTTTTTTTTTCCGGGTTTGTGCAAAAACGCAGAACATCAGCTCTACTGCTGTGAGTGTTTTTAAATGGCACATTTCAAAGCATTATTGTTATTCCTTCTTATCTTTCAGGTACGAGCGTGAGGAATATCCAGGCATTCCAAGTGCTCCAGACGGTTTTTCCCAAGGTGAGAATGGACCTGTTGTGCTTCTTCACTTTATATGTGTTGCATGACCCCAAGGTCATGGTACCGTGCATTGGACAGTCACTTTTGTGTTTCGGTCGTTACATTCCACATGCTAAAGACTTAATCATCTGCTCAGACAGCCCCGCAGCTTCGAATAACTGCAGGTAGACCAAAGGGGTTTTATTTACACACTTTGGTGGGAAATCATACTGAATATCTAGTAGGTCTCCCTTCTTCCCTTCCTTCCTTAGAGTGCCTAGTCTTTAGGGAAAGAAGTCTTAAGACTAGGCTCTACCTAGAGAACCATGGAGAGCGTTTGCAACTTAGTGGCAGACTCCTCCTGCGCCGATTGGTCGCAAGTGTGCATGCGTTTAGTTGTCGCTTGGCGAGGAGGAGATCAGGCAGAGAAGTGGAGATGCTTCCCTCACCTCCTTGCAGCTCATATTGTGCGTTACCCCGATCGAGCAGGTGGAAACGCCGTCTAATCTAGGCACACTGGTCCTACCCCTGCCATTGTGGTGCTATCTAGCGAGGGATCACGCATTTACTGTAGGCCTCACCTAACACACCCTCAAGACGGATTAGTAATATTTCCTTTTTATTTTTGTTCTTTACAGGCGCAGACAGTTCACTTGTCATCCCTGCTCCTCGATGCGATCAGCACCATCTACCATTCGGACAAAGCAAACTATTTCATCCTGGAGTCCAGCCACCCTTTGTCCCATTTCTCAGAAAAGATTCATCTCAAGACGCCTGAAATTCAGGTGCGTGCTCTCCAAGGCTCTTCTTCTCTTTCTCGCTCTCTCTTTGCTTTCTTCCTTTTATTGAGCAGGAATGAGAACTAATGGTTTTTTTTTTCCACTTTGCTACTTTCAGGAAAAGTTTTTTAAGCTGTTGGAATTCATTGTGATAGAACTGAAGTTTGTACCATGCAAAGAACTCATCAGCCTTAGCATCCTTCTGAAAACAAACAGGTATGCCGCTTTGTATTTTTAATATTGCCAGTGTTGCTATTGCTTACGTCGATCTAAGAGACAGCTGGTCAGTAATGATTAAAACAGGTAGGAAATAAATATAGTGAGGCAGTAGATGCCAAGACGGAATGAGCACATTATTCTTGGCCAAAGACTACCTGAGTCAGCTTGAGGGTAGAGATGCCGCATGCTTTTTGCAGACCTGAGGTTTCAAGACCGAATCAAGGATTCGAAATGGAAGTACAGAGGCAGATGCTGCTGAAGCAACAACTTGGGAGGCCTCTACCTCTGCACCATCCTTATTGATACCAAACCGTAGCACGACCACCCATGGTTGTGTCAAAAGGCGTGGGGCGTACAACAATCCAGGCGGCGCGCTGGCACATCTCTTGTATAGCACTGTGCTTTCACGTGCCCCATGGACTGGTGCTTGGCCACTGTCTTATCACTAATATCACAGTACACCACAGAAGCAGTTTTAATATTAGCCACCTCACCTTGTCCCGATTCGAGAAACTCTTTGTCCCATCCATTGCTCGAATCATTAACAAAACCTGCACTTGTTGAGTTGCATGAAAACTGGCAAGCGGTATGCTATCCTACTCAAACCCTTCTTCACCCAAGGGCTTACAATAATGGAAATTTTCCGACATGGGCTGTTGGCGCAATCGCAGGGCAGAAAATACCCGTGTTTATGATTGTTGGAAAAAAAGCGGCGCTAATGGAAAGGACGAGTTTTAGTGCAATGGGCACCACAGAGTAGACCAATAAGGTTGTTTGTGGGCACTAGCAAAGTGAACCATTATTAATATTATTATCACGTTAAGAAGTGAACAGAATAACAATCTATCCAATCCACTTCTTGCCCCCGTCCTTGTCTGCAGCACTATTTGCGTTCTTGCCGCACTTACCCAACCGGCCCGACCGGTCATGTTGACGACAGCTGTCTGCCTCGGGTGGGGGTTTACATGCAGTTCGGTGTCCTGCTCCATCAACTGCCTGCACACACTGGCCAACATTGTGCAGCACAATGCGGTCTTCAAGGATGTCTACCGGGAAGTGGGGCTCCTGGAGGTGCTGGTCACCTGCCTGCACCGCTACGCCACCGTCCTCAAGGAGGCCTTTCCCGACGGCGAGGCCGAGCCCATCGGTAGGAATGGGAGGGAGCTACGCTGTCGTAAACGCGACTTCGAGCGGCGCGTTGACTGTCTCGTTCCTGTCCCGCACATCGAATGTTGTCCCAAAGTGGCAACAACTTTTTCCGCGGGAGATGGCGTTCCACGCCGTCGGATGTCGCGATCTCGACAGTTGGTCGTTGAAATGCAAGCGAAAAAGGCGACCGGATGATAGGGTCGCCGTCGTCGCAGCGTCCCGTCTCACATCTGCTTTACTTTCTGTCGACCAACTGGCTGCAGAGCGACTGGAACAGGCGCCTGCTGTGCTACCACCATGATCGTGGCAGGCAGCGGTGTGACACTTAGACAACGACGTCGCGCGGAAATCTGGGGACCACTTCTGAGGACGCAGTAAAGAACAGTCAAGGACGGGCTTCGGGCGTGATGGCAAAGCCACCGTAAAAGCTGCGCCTCTGAGCAACGACATTTAATTCAGTCATCTTTCCGCTTGAAATTGTTGCCTGTCTTCCGAAGCTTCGTCCGACACCGTAGAAAACGCTTTTCCGTCCTCCCGGAATGTTGAGACAGTTTGCATAGGGGTGAGACAACGTCGCCCGAGCTCCTTGTGTCTAAAGCGCAGGAATGTGCGTTTTCTAATCGTTACCGTCGTTGGTCGTGCCCGTCTTGCATTAGGCAACAAAATGGCAGCACCCACAGGGCAGTCGGGGAATGGGGTTCTGATACTCCGAGCATAGCTTGTGCAGTGGCTCTAGCAGGAACCCCGAGATGGGTGGCACTTTCGCTCAAGGAAGTGACACCTTTGCTTTGACCGTAGTTTTGAGGCTGCCAGAATGGCGCGGTAGTCGATGATGGTGATTGCTGCGCCGTTTGTGCCAAACTGCGCCAAATCGCTTGCTCTACTACGTCTCGCTACATTTCACCGAAATGCGAGAAGTTGGCACCAATGTAGCAGCAAAAAATAGTTTTCTTTGATTGGTGCCGAAACTAATGGCTTAGGCTCCGCTACACTGCCATGTCATTGTCGTTGCAACATGAAAATTTTAAAAACTTTTAGTTATGGCTTTGAATAACATACAATTTGGTTTGAACTCAGTATCAAACACTGAAAGTTACGTAACACTACATATCAAGCAGTGACACCTTCACAATATTCCTTATTGTTTGGGGTCGGTTCTGGCAGGTTTAGTACGCTCCGTTGAGTGCACTTCTATCCAAACAACCGGTGTATTACGATGAAGTGACACATGCAAATGGGACATTGTGATTTTGTGCATTTTGCTTTGCCACAGCGCACTCACGTGCTGAGGAGAAATGCACTCCTCCAAAGGAGGGTGTCGCATGTGCGCAGGATGGCTACTCTAAAAACAAAAATGGAACTTGGTGAATGCAGTTATATCATGATGAGTTGTATACGTAATTGATGACGATTTTTATTTTCTGCTGCTTCTTTGTTCTAGAAGGCATATTTATTCCCCGCATGCTGATTTTGCCTCATCATGACTCTGCATATCAAATGCCACTGAACATCATAATCCAATGACAAAAGCAAATGATTTGATCTTAACATTATATCAGTGAATGGTGTTTGGTTTAACTTTGATCTCACGCTTATAATAGCCCTTTATATTTACTTCATTTAGAAATACACCTCGCAAACTTAGATTGTATTCTGCCCTTAGGAAAGGAAATTTACTCAAGATAACAAGTGCTCACCTGATTTTGTCGTCAATTTATATACTGTACGTTATTCGAAGCTTGCTATTTATTTCTAGTCTTACTTAGCCCTCGAGTCTGCAGTGTGCGCATTGCTATTTATGAGTGCCTTTGTCTCTACCCTGTGTTTGAATGCATACGTACGCAGACGCCGGCGGACGCCGTCTCTCGACGTTCCAATGCATACGAACATTCCGCGATTCCAACCAGAGCTCGGTGCTCCGGTTTTGCCGCACGCTCTCATCCCCTCCTCTCCCACAGTTTATACCCGCATAGTCACTGACAAAGTGAGAACGGCAGGAAGGGCTTTACATGACCTGCCTCCAGCTCGAGCTCTGTGCTTTCAACGAAGCTTCGGCATCTCGTGCATTTTGAGTGTACACACGAAGCCAAAGAACGGCGAAAGGCGTGGAGCACGGGCCGGAAGCCAGGCGTTCACAAGACATGCCCTTCTGTTCTCATTCTCTCGGCAACTATAGTCGGCAGTTCTGGGGAAAGGAAGGGGAATCCCCCTCCCATAGCCTGCCCGTCTTCCGAGCACTTCCGACGTTACTGCCCTGCGCAGTCACTTCTGCAGACGTACTCCTGTTGCACGTCGTTGTTCCTCTTCTTGCTTCCGCGCTTTTAAATGTCGGTATCTCCAGCCCAAATGCTCGTAACATGCTCGTGCTGATCTGTCTGTCCCCTTCTGTCCTTCAGCCAAGGTTCCCATACCGGAGGAGCAGCAGCGCATGGGGTCCCTTGTTATGGAGACCCTTACTGTCCTCCTGAACGGAAACTCGAATAATGCTGGTAAGACCACTTTTGTTGACTACTCGGGTGCTGTTGTTTACCTACCATAGTTTCTGGTCTATAAAGGTTTATTCACGAGATGAATCTTGTTGGCGAATCTTGTATTGCGAAACTAGGTTGTTGGCGCGCCTCTGAAAAAGCTTGCACGCGCTCCTCGCTTCTGGAGCAATATTTTGCTGAAACCTCACCGAGGCCTGTCAATCACCTGAAGGAGAAACGTATACGCTGCCAATGTCTGTGCAACATCGCTATGATGTCTGACATTTGAGGCGGAGCGAGCTTTTGGAGGAGTTTGATTTCTGGGCGATCCCGTATCCGAGCCGAAGCCGAAAGGAGAAAACACAAACATGGCGGCGAGCGACAAGTAGAGAAGCGGTATGTACGGGTTGCGGAAGGGCGATATCGGATAGCAGTATAGGTTGGTGGCACGGTGCAGCTTCATCAACGGTCAAGTGACGAGTGCAAGCACTGCATATGAACGTGATGACTAGGGATAACTTATCTTTTAGCGGTGCAGAAATACTGTAAATACTTCGAGATCATTCACGTATTCTTTGACATTTGTGGTATTTCCCAGGTTTGGGAGGCCTAGTAAACCCAGTGAGCCGAATCCGATGAAGTTTACGGAGCGGTATTAATAAAGCAGACTGTCTCTTCACACTGTGCGTGCTTCATATCATTTTGATGCGAAATGCTTGATATTCTCGGTGCATATGACAAGGTTTGGCGAAATTCTCGCGTGTCAATACGTCGCAGGTTTCACACATCAAACTCCACATGGGAACAAGCCAATTTCGCAAAATCTTGGTTTCGCTAAACCTTTGTGCGTTGAAAAGATGAATCATGTGAATAAGCCTTAAGTCACACCATTGTAAAAGTTGTGCACCCCTCCCCCAACTAAACAGTCATTTCATAGGGGTAGATAAATAGGTCACACTTGTGAAATATACTTTTGTACAGTCGGCGCAGCAAAACTTCACTGATAAGCCCGCAAGTGTATATTGTGATTGTGTATACACAAACGGGAGCTATTTTAGATTTTCTCGCCAACAAATTGAGCGAGAAATATGTATAATCTTTACGGGACATTTGTGGTGTTAAGTTTAAAATTATAGAAAAGAAACATATATAGGTATCTTTAGGGGGCGCGTGATCTCTTGAGATATTGCAGCAGTAAAACGAAAGGGATAACAAATTTATTAGGTTCTTATTTTAAAATTCTCCTAGTAATATAAAATGCCCTTTGCAAAAAGGTTGTTTCTATTTTTTTTTTTTTTTTATAAAATCAATTTTTGTGAAGATTTATTCTAGGACAAAAGTTCACTATTAAATTTTGGTGTGAACAATTATTTCACTATACTGAAGCTTTGCCCAGCAAAAAAACATTTTTGGGTAGAGCACAATTTTTTTTTATTGGTGCGTTAAACAATTATTTAAAAAAAAAATCAAATTTCAGAAATTTCAGTTTAAACTCCAAAACTGAAAGCTTTAGTTAACTTTGCTGTCACTAGATTTAAATGCCATTTGGGATCATGCAAGAGCAAATTTTTAAAAATTTTAAAAGCTCACTACTCCAGAGTCTTTCTTCAATAACATTTTATATATTATATATTTCAAAATTGCTATCAATTGCTTATGGAACAGTGATAGCGGATGTCATATATACAATTTCTGAAAATATATGAAGTGTGTCTCTTAAATAATGAGACTGGTAGCAAAAGTGGGGATTATTTTTACAATCTTACAACTTAAATGTTGTCCCCTTCGACATACTCCACTTTCCTTTCTGTACTCCACTGCATACAAATTTCTCATTGCTGGATACAGTGGCACAGGTCATCATGTGTCAACCTGTTCAGCAGCGCTCCCGTTTCCTCTTTTACCTCGTCCACAGTTCTTGTCTTGCTATTTTTATCCTCGGTCATGTAGTAGTTTTTCAGTGCATGATTGTATTTTTGTTTCCAGGTTGTACCGGAGAAAAAAGTTTCGTCACATGTGACGATTATTTCTAGCAAGTCAAGTTCCATTGCGAGCCATTTTATGAAGCCAGTACGGATGTGTTTTCGGACATCTTTTTGCTCCCAATTGAACAAAACGTTACAAAAATTATGAAACCTTCTCTCAACGGTTGGAAAATAAACATTCGGACGTTAGAATACATCCTGCACAATGACAAAAAGAATCTAAAACAAATTTTACAGAACCAATTGAACATGCACAAAGCCTACACTAAAACGGTGCCCGAAAACCTTAGTCAGGAGCAGAAAGAGGCCAGAAAAACATTTGCACTGACTTCATGGAACGACTCTCTGCAGAACTTGACTTGATGGAAAGGATCATCATATGTGATGAGGCATATTTTTCAGTACAGTGTGGAAATAGAGAAACATTCAAATTAACATTAAAAACGAGTGTGTTGGTAAAAGCTTAACATCCAGAAAGAATCAACCCAAAAAAGCTGTTGCGTCTGTATTTCGTCCCTTTTTACAGCGGAGCTGTTAAGGGCTGGTTTCCCAAGGATTGTGTCCCCCACAAAGAAGTGTCGACACAAAGCTCTGGACAGCTACATTTTTTTCTCTCTTTTCGCAATTTGGCGCGCACTTCAAAATTTGAAAGCGTTTTTTTTTTGCCAACATGTGCAGCCAATTGCGCTTATAACTTGCCCACCGCGTGATTCGAAAAAAAAAAAAAAGGCTTGTTTTTGTGCGTCACGCAGGGCTAATCGTGCTTGTCATTTGCCCACCATTGGTTTTCTCGAAGTTGAATTCACCGATGTTTCATATTTCAAGATAGAAATAACAAGTTTTTTTTATAGAATTGTGTGGGATTTTGCCAGGACTTGAACTGGGTTGAATTCAAGGATAACTTGAATTAACCGAGGTCGAATTAACGCAAGTTGATGTATAAGTCGTGGAGTTTTTACAAAACTTTTGGAGGTATATTTTATGCACTAGTGTAATTTATGTTTTCGTTTTAATTATGGTTCTTAAAGAGGCCCTGCAATCATATTTAAGCATCTACCTTTTTTTGCGGTTTCCACATCTCTTGGGGTTCGGGCAAGCCAGCGGGCACGGAGAGAGTAACTAAATATCAGTGCGTCATATTTTAACCGGACGACGCGGAAACCTCCTCCACCGACGAGGGCGACCCGCGGTACCGAAAGCGCGCAAAATGTGACGTCTTTGGTCCTGGGCTTGCCACTGGTCAAAGCCGCTAAGAGCTTTTTTTTTAGTGGAGATACAAAATATAAGTGTCGCGAACCGTTTCAATTATGTATGAAAGTAGTTTTTGTTCACTATTTTAGATCAGAAAAGAAACAAATGCAGTTTAGAAAGTACGGAAACGAGAAATGACCCGTCGACATACCCGCCACCAAGCGGCGGAAAAAAACGGCGCATACTAGAAAAGGCCAGTAGGATGAGGCTACGACAAACGAGGAGCGCAGAAAGGTCCCGGATGTACGCGGCGGCGCTGTGGTCGTATACCGGTTCAAGAATCCGACCGGTTCCGAGCGTTCCGAAGGCCTTCGGCGCGGGCCCTGCTGGCGATTTGGCCATTTGGCGGTGCGTCAGCGCGAGGTGGCTCCTGTTCTGAACTGATCTTTACCCTGTGTTTGCTGTCGTTTGTGGCCAATGAAATGTTATGCCGAATTAGTGTTTAGTCGTGCTGCAAATGCAATGCGAGCTGCCCTGGCCGCCCGCTTCATACAGCCTATCCAACACGTGCTTTAGTGGCGCCCTCTCGAGCCGTCGATACGGAGTGCGGCAGCCGTGTGCGCTCAATGAGCTCACTACTCCTCCTCTAGTTCAAGGCCACTCAAGCCAGGACCTATGACGTCACGAAGGAGGTTATTTTTTGCTTGTTTTTGTAATTCTAATTTGACTATAACTTTTAAAATAAAGCGAAATTTGAGAAAAGAAAAGTTGGATTAAGTTACTACGTTCAGTACGCTCAGGTTCAGTGCAAATTAAAAACCAGTCAAAAAGTCATTGCAGGGCCCCTTTAACTGCGCATATTTGCCGTCGCAGTTATATTTCTCGTTTGATTTGTTGCTGAGAATGTTGAAACTGGCTCTTGTGTGTGCATGTATCGCGATCACACTACACATATGAAAGCTTATTAATACAGTTTCGCACAAATTTCGGGTGTGTGTCCATTACGCAGGGTAAAATTTTTGCATTACACACTTTGCGCAAATGTCATTTAAGCTGCCAATATAGCATGGCAGGGTACTGGGGCATGTCTCCACCAATGCAGGTGCACCCACGACTGGTCATGGCATGCCACAGTAAGCATGCTCTATAAATTGCAAACCTTTTAGAACGCTTTCGGCGCGCCTTCTGCCTAAGGAAAAGCGCCCTACAAAGCTCCCTTAGCATAAAAAGCGATGTGACCCTCCTTAAGCCTAACCGCTTTCACAATTTCACTGTCTGAGAGTGGACCTCAGATGACGGCATGTTTGTCGACATCAATGCATCCGATTGGAGAAACACATTCGGGGACTGGGCAATTCCTCGACCCCAGCCTAGTTAGATGTGCATGCCACTTGGTTTCATTGTTGATACTTCCGCAACTACTCACTTGCAGCCATTACACGCGCATGTGTTGGTACGCTTGGCTTGTCTCGACCTGGTCGCTTGGCAGCAAAAGAAAATTGGTTCGGTGGGTTCGGTGGTTGGCTGAGCAAAGTTGGACGCAGTTCGAGACTCGCAAAGCCGAAAATTGTAGGTGCGTTCGTTATGCAAGGGAAAAAAAACTACCATATATTGATGCTCATTGTAGGGGCTGCGTTTATAATGCGAGTAAATATGGTAAATGCGACTTATACAAAGGTGCACCTTACATTACTACTTTTTTTTTCTGTAAACACCCGTTTATAGGGTGTACGACTTATATAACGGTGCGAATTACTAGGAAATATGGTATCTGTTAAAGGGGATAACGGTTCATTCGTAATATTGTCATAATAAACCACACTTCTGACACCAGTCCCGTCACGTAATAACGCCCCTTGCGCAGAAAATAAAAGCAACAAGCGCTATAGTCGAGGACAAGGTGAGAACAGCAGGGACGAGCTTCGGTTGTCTCACTTCCAGCATGAGCTTCCTCCTTTCGACGGCACTTGGGCATCTTGTGCTCCTCAAGCATACGCTGGCGGCCATAGCAAGGCGCAAGGCCACGAACGTATGCAGACGACCGGACGTCCGAATGACACTCCTTGCCGTCCTCGTTCTGTCGGCGACCGTAGAACCGTAACAGAACTAGTGCCGTCCGAGAAAAAGTGCGAGGCTAGGCAAGCTGGAGACATTTCAGACCCTGCCCCACGCGTCCCTTTCCTGCAGGGGTGTTTCGGGAGTGCGGCGGTGCCCGGTGTGCCCACAACCTGGTGCCGTACCGGCTGTGCCGCCAGCAGGCCCTTGGGGTGGTGCAGCAGCTGGTGCTGAGCAACGGCGGAGACGATGACATGGGCACCCTGCTCGGGCTCATGCACACCGCCCCACCCCTGGCGCTGCACCTCAAGAACCACATCCTCAAGGTGGGAGTCATGTACCGCTCGTCTAGCACGTCCTCCGTCTGCAATGGATCGAGGTGGCGACGCGGGCGAGTTGGTCCAATGTACAGCTAGGAATGGCGCACAAATAATGAAGACGAGGCAGGTATACATCAACAAGCAGCCCTGACGTCACGCCGCTGTCGTGGCACTGCAATTGGCAGGGCCACCGCCTATAGTAGCGAATCCCGCTGAGTCGTGGTCGAGCATGCATCAGACAGACGGGCCGTTGTGTCGACGAACGAGCACGCCATGTCGCCGAGTTCAACTGTGGGAGAGCACCTACTTTCACACTGTGTGACTTGCATGTGTAGGTCAAACTTTGTCTGCATCAAGATTCTAGGGAAAGAGGTGGATAAAACTGGCAAGATAACTGCCGTAAGCATTTGAGCTGGAAAGGAAGGTGCAACATGCATTAGTCAAGCGTCAGTTTGTTCACGTAAAAATGAGGTAGTCTTTTTGAAGCCTGTGTCGACGCGACAGCAATGTGGATGGTTAGTTTGATGGTTTTCTTTTTATACAGTAATCAGTCAAAGCCCAGCGCTTGTCCCGTCTACACTTTCTTTGTCTTTGTTTGCACTGTTTCCAGTTGGATCCATTTGCAATGTTCACTATTTTAACGTAGAATGTGCTTTAGGGCTGGTTTCAAGTTTAGAGCATCATGAAGTGTTGTAATGAAAGTAAGATGACGCAGCCAGTCGTCTGGGCAGAACACCGTGTCCCCTGGCGGGAACCTGGTTATATAGTAATTCCTCATTAATTCTAACTCGGCTATCTTGAAATATCAGTTAAGTCAAAAGATTTCCTTGTCATGGAATGAACTCCCATAGGCACAACGCATTTACTCATGGGAGATTATCTCAAAAAGTTGTCAGGACTAACCTCGAATATTTCAAAATCTTGACAGCAAATACAGTAAAGCCTCGTTCATTCAACCACCGCTAATTCGGATAATTTATACTGCCGATCCGGTCCCGTCAAACGTGTATATTAGTCGATGGCACCAAATGCTCATTAATTCAGAGGGAATGTGGTGCGCTATGGTTAATTTGGACGAATTCGGCAGGTGCCACAAGCTACCATCCGTTCCAAAGGGTATGACCGCTATCCATCCGAGGTGCACACGGGGTTTTTTTGGATGTCCCATGGTCCTTCACTCTTCCGGTTCTCCGTGTTTCGCACGTTTCGCACCAGTTTTGCTCTAGCATGGAAACGGCAGAAGGCCAGAAGTGCAGAAGTACAGCTGCAACAGAAAAAGAGAAGCATAAGTGACCGACGACCGAAGCAGCAAAAATCGCGACACGCGGTGCTATTGTTTGCGAGCACGCTGATAGCGAGAGTGACAGCCACGTTTCATGCCTCAACACAGGGTGGCCGGCAGAAAACAGCCCATCCTAAAGCCCGCATTTTAACAGCTATCCCTCAATTTTTTGCCAGCCACCCCCGACTGCCACTCTTGGAGTGCTCTGGAAAAATAGTGCCGGGTGTCGCAATTTTGCCACTTCGGTCATCCGTCACTTGGGCTACTCTTTTTAGAGCGCAGCTCTTAGGCGCCCGTTTCCGGCTTGAGCGGCGTCGCCGTCGCCGTCGGCGTAATTGCGCGGTGCATTATGGGTAAATTTCCCTGCTAAATCTAGAGGAAAAATTTACCCGCTAAATTTAGCAAAAAAATTTCCCCGCTGCGGAAAAATTTCCCCGCTAAATCTAGCGGAAAATTTCCCCGCTAAATTTAGCGGAAAAATTTCCCCGCTAAATCTAGTGGAAAAATTTCCCCGCTAAATCTAGCGGAAAAATTTCTCCGCTAAATCTAGCGGAATATTTTCCCCGCTAAATCTAGCGGAAAAATTTCCCCGCTAAATCTAGCGGAATATTTTCCCCGCTAAATCTAGCGGAAAAATTTCCCCGCTAAATCTAGCGGAAAAATTTCCCCGCTAAATCTAGCAGAAAAATTTCCCCGCTAAATCTAGCTGAATATTTTCCCCGTTAAATCTAGCGAAAAAATTTTCCCGCTAAATCAAGCGGTAAAATTTCCCCGCTAAATCTAGCGGAAAAATTTCCCCGCTAGATTTAGCGGAAAAATTTCCTTGCTAAATCTAGCGGAAAAATTTCCCCGCTAAATATAGCGGAAAAATTTTCCCGCATATCTAGCGGAATAATTTCCCCGCTAAATCTAGCGGAAAAATTTCCCTGCTAAATCTAGAGGAATAATTTCCCCGCTAAATCTAGCGGAAAAATTTCCCCGCTAAATCTAGCGGAATAATTTCCCCGCTATATCTAGCGGAAAAATTTCCCCGCTAAATCTAGCGGAATAATTTCCCTGCTAAATCTAGCGGAAAAATTTCCCCGCTAAATCCAGCAAAAAAATTTCCCCGCTAAATCTAGCGAAAAAATTTCCCCGCTAAATCTAGCGGGAAAATTTCTCTTCAGGTCAGGTGACCCCCCGAGGTCACGTGACCCCCGTGGTCACGTGACACCCCCAGGTCACGTGACCCCCACGTGACCTTGGCGAGGGGGTCATGTGACCCCTCCAAGGTAACGTGACCACTCCTCCCCCCCGATAACACGTGAACCTCAGTACCCTTCCCTCCTCCTCCTCAAGAGCTGCGCTCTAATTCGGCGTTACAGGGAGTTGTAAACGGCTTTCATTTTTCGTGGCAGCTGTACCAGGTCACGAATTTAGTGACGAAAGGGGAAATAACTGATAAAACAAGCACAACTTGTTTTATGTCCCACCCTATGCTATTGTTGGTGGATTCAATGACTTGTCAAGCATTGCTGATTTGCATATTCTTTTTGTCTTTCATCCTTGAAATGGTGAGAAGAATGCAGAATTCAGGTTCTCACGCCAAACAGGCATGCTCACAGTGAAATTTGATTTGAGAGCTACCTACTTTCTTAGAGAATACAGGAAACAAAATTAATTTTTGTGGTCGCTAACATACTATAGATCGGAAGGGAGGGAGATGGGTTGACGAAAGGAGAGAACATGATAGTATGTGTGGGCACAACATTGTATTCAGTTTTATTATTGCCCAGATAAAACAATAGAATGTTACTGACAACTTGAGAAATGAAGTGAGCTCATGAAGTACCACTTACTTCTTTCACGGTTTGTTCCGTTTTATTTTTTGTTGTTGTTTTAAGTCGGTGATTTGCTCTGTTGTCTGCCGCTCCAGTCTCTCTTGTTCGTGCTTCGAGAAAGCCACCGGACCCGGACCGTCTTCCGGAAAGTGGGCGGCTTCGTCTACGTCATGTCGGTCCTCGTTTCCATGGAGGGCTGTCTCGCAGACCCGCCGAAGGAGCCCTGGAACACCGGTGAGAGTTGTGCCACCGGCTTTGTTTCCCTCTCGGTATATTTGCCAGGTCGCATCGGAGCGGGATGGTGCACAAAACTTGTCTCCGACCGGTGCATAGCATCCCGCCCGTGCGTCGAATGCGGTCCGAAAGTGGCAACGAATTGTGCCGCCGGTTATAACGAAGTACAAAAAAGAATGGGAAATCGCAATCGCTTCACTGTAGCCACTATTTCATTATAACTGACTTCGTTATAGCCGGTCTCGACAGTAGTCAGAGGAACACATTGAACACATAGGAGATTGACCGAAACTTTCTTTTTGCTTCAGTATAAATGGGAGTGTTTGTAGTGGAAGCATTCATTATAAAGGCGTTTGACCGTAGCGGCTACCTCGTTTGTGCTCGGCTGACTTTCTTTGATCCTTGTCATCACTTGATCTCTTCCCATTTTCAGTTGAGAAGAAGCAGATCATCTCTCTCCTGAGGACGGTGTTCAGCACCATGACTGTCGCCATGAGATACGAACCCGCCAATGCCAAGTTCTTTGCAACGGAGGTAATGTTCTTGTCATTCCAGTTTAGGTTTGCTGAAGGGCGATCTGTCTTTTAAAACTCAATGTCCGCTCATTGTTTTCTAGATATGCCAGACCAGTTTGGCAGACACGGTTAGACTCCTAGGCTGCTTTACGAACAACACGGACATCTGTCCTGTCGACACCACGTTTGTCCCCACCGAAGAAAACCTCTTTCATGCAGTGTTCACTGGAAGCAGTGATGCAAAGTAAGCACCTTCTTCGTTCGGGACATGTAGCATAATTTGTCGGGTCTTTTTTTTTTTTTTTTCATACACAAGCATTTGCACATATACAGGGTGCGGCCGTAAAAACTTTCACATTTGGCACGCCTAGCAAAAATCGAATTTCAAACATACATACCTGAAATTGGGCGCACGAACGTCGTTTATTCCAAAGTTTTTTGCCTATTTTTTTCAGACGTCAACTCTGGAGTAGCGAATTATTAGAAAGATAACAAAAATGGCAGACGTGCATTTCCTATGGCCTATACACGTTTGCAAGTCCGGCTTCAGGGCGCTGCCATCTTGCCTGTCTGGGGTGCGCTTGGACCAGTCATAATCCGATTACGAAGCCTTGCTAAGGCGTCGTAATCGGATTATGGCCGCTCCCGAGAGCGCACCCCACTGAGGAAGATGGCGGCGCCCTGAGACCGGACTTGCAAACGTGTATACCCGCCCGTTCGCCGTCTGCTATCTGGTTCGCGACGCCGCTCCCAGGTGGCGCACTGAACGCAAAAACTCGGGAAACCCGCTCGAAAGGCTGGTGTCGGGCGAGATAATCGCGATAAAAAGTGATTTGAACCAAATATATGAGCAATTGTTGAAATTACCTGTTTCAAGTCAAGTTCTGACAGATCGTCATGCAAGCAAGAAGACACCGTGATGCGACGAGATGATTTATTTACAGCTGCTCGTCTTGTTGACAATTGCGGGTCGCTCTCGAAGACAGCAAGCACCGCTTCAATGAGCTCCTCATTTTTCAGTAGGCTCTCACGTTCACTGACTGGATTCTTCTTTTTACAGTCTTCTCCACTCACAAAACGATCCGCCCAACTCAAAACAGTTGGGCGTGAAGGCGGGCGTTTATGAAATGCAGTGCGAAATTTTCGTTGTGCTGTGGCCACCGAGTTCCGCTCCACGTACCACTTGACTGTCTGGGCACACTCACTTGCCGAGTATTGCGGCATCGCAGGGCGGCGCGGAAAATATTTTGATAATAACTGCAGAAGACAGTGCAACAAAAGCAATAAATAGGAACAATCAAGATGCCTCAGCAGCGGCACTCTTGATTCCAAAGTTGAGCTTTCACCGGGAACGGACCCGTCAACAGATAAGCAGACGACAAATGAAGACACACGTTCGTCTGCTTTAGAACATATTTTTATTAAACGAGGGCGTCCGCCAGTTTCTAAATTTCAAGTAAAAGGGCATAATCGTTCACATATTTCGGTAAAATCACTTTTTATCGCGATTATCTCGCCCGGCACCAGCCTTTCGTGCGGCGTTTCCCGCGTTTTTGCGTTCAGTACGCCATCTGGGAGCGGCGTCGCAAATTAGATAGCAGACGGCGAACGGGCGGGTATAGGCCATAGGAAATGCACGCCTGCCATTTTTGTTATCTTTCTAATAATTCGCTACTCCAGAGTTGACGCTTGAAAAAAATAGGCAAAAAACTTTGGAATAAACGACGTTCGTGTGCCCAATTTCAGGTATGTACGTTTGAAATTCGTTTTTTGCTAGGCGTGCCAAATGTGAAAGTTTTTACGGCCGCACCCTGTAGATAAACCTCTTCAGCTCTGCCTCACTTTTAACTGAAGGCCCTGCGACATACAGTGCTGCATGCTTTACACTGAAGAATGCTCTATATTTGCTATTATATTGTTTTATTGTAAGCAAGAATAATAAATTGATGAATACCCTGTAAATCTTGACTGTGCCAAAGATGCAGCGAAGAATCTTTCTGATCAGGGACACTTCTTTCTCACTTAGCATTTCAAACCATGTTTCTCTGATGCCCTTTACTATTTGTTTTTCCAGGACAGTGTTTTCTTTTTAGTCGATGAGTGTCTTAATGAAATACATACTGCTAAGCGGAATAAACAACAACAGTGGACACTTAAATAGTTCAGCGTAGATACCCGTCCTCATTGTGCATTGGCATGGCCCAGCTTCTGTTCATAACAGTAGTATTTTTCTTGTCATCATGTTTTGAAGCACTTTTTGGGACATATTATCCCAGAATCGTTTCTTTCAGGTATTTTTTACAACATGCTAAAGTTGTTTCCCTAAAGCAGTTTACAGGTGCTCAAAATGTTATTTCGATATTAGGTACATTTGCAATAGCAGTGGGCAGTTACAAAAATGCTAATTGCTTGTGCATGTTTTTTTTTTTTTTTTTTATAGTTTGGAATTTGGCAGGGTACCGGCATCTCTCCTATCCGCCGTGGTGGTCATGCGGCTACTTTATGACATGGCTTTGGACTCATTTGATAAGTATGCATCTCAGTTTATTGACACAAATTCTCCATGCACCAAACAATATCGGGGGCTCTAATTTTTTAGCTCCTGATATTGTTTTCTTATCACCCGTTTCCTACCAAATTGTGTACTATGTAGTCACACTTGAGACTGAAGAACGGTGAAAACGAAAGAGAACACGGGTACATTGAAACACGGCCTTGAATGTTACTACCACAGGAGGATTGCACCAATAATTCACCTTCATATTTGCGGAAAACACAATTTGGGGGGGGGGGGTAAAACCTTCAAGAAACAAAAATAGTGGATACTGTCATCCTGCACTAGCAGAATGTACCGTATTTATTTGAATATACGGCGGTCACGATTATAAGGAGAGGGGACAGTTGAAGGACCCAGGAAAAAGAAAAAAAGTTTGCACACTAACATAATTAAGGCAAAAGAAACTAAAGAAGGCAATTAAATTCCTTAACTTTCAGCAAAGCAGACACAAGTATTTGAACTATCTGCGCACAAACCCTCCCTTTCGCGGGCCACGGAAAGCCTTTCTCGTTGCTGCGCAGGCTAAGAGCGAAGTCTTCCGTTTGCGCCAACGACGCACGTGGTTCTCCGGAACACCAAACTTTCGACCCGCCGCGCAGTTTCCAGTAACTTCCGCCTCTGATATAAATTTCCTCTTGAAGGCTGCGTCATAGTGACAACGACGACTCACCATTGCGCTGGTCGCGTATATAAGAAGCAAGCACTGAAAAAAATCCTGCCGCAGAGACTCCAGGCACTCCAACAAAAAATGCAAAATGGTGTCCCGACTTGTTTACAAACTTTGCGGCTACTACTGGCTTGGAGGCGGCTACTGCTGGCTCAGCTCATTGACATGGTCGAAGGCATCTGCAGCCATCACGTCTGCTGCATCGCGAGCTATTCAATACACTTGCAGCTGCCAAACCTCGGTAGTTACTATCTGTAACCTGCGTTTCTGTAACATTTTGTATGTTTTATTCTTAAATCTCTCCGTTACATTTCCAACAGTGTTGTCGGGCTCTTTTGGAAGCTTGGAAATGATTGAAAGGCGGAAATTGAAACTGTTACACCAAAATCGCCATATTGCTATACTGAGCGTCGAATATAAGGCGGGGTATGACTTTGAGACTACGGATTTTGGAAAAAAACCTCGCCTTATATTCGAATAAATACGGTATGTATTAACATGTTATAAAAGAAAAACGAGTGAATGTAATGGAGATAACCGGCGTTTACTACCAAAGTGCCATCCTAAAACAAATTCGGAAAACTCTTTCATATTTTTGGAATTTAAATATTGCGCCAATATAAATATCGCAGCAACTGCACTATGCCAGAAGGAATTGTAGGGCTAGTTAGCTAAAGAGAGAAAAATACAAGTAGTGCTGCGGACAAGGCTGAGTAGGAGTGTGCAGGTGTAGAGCATGCAAAAATAGCTGCAACCAACTCTGGACACTCAAGCATTGCTGGCTTTGCTTGTATGGGGGGGGGGCACGAGAGTGTGAATCAGAGTCCAACCTCCAACACCTGCAGTTGTTGTGTGGGTGTATGAAAGGAGGAGAGACCCCAACAACAAGGGCTGGTCGAGCGCGAACATCAAAACTGAGGAACATTTGATCACAAGACGTCAACAATGTAAGTCTCAAAATACCTTTTATACCTAAAGTTTAAACATCTCTTGCATTACCCAAAGATGACGATTTCGTCTCTGACTCTCACTCTCGTCCCATCTGTCATGTGAACAAACCGAGCAAGCCTAGAATGTTTGAGTTCTTTGGAGCTATTTTTACACATTTTAACACTTGCACGGGACAAGGGCTTTCGTCCTATTTTTTTACTTGTCCCTGTTCATAACGTTATATATTTGTGATTACCTGCACTTTTTATTCACATTTGATCTTAACTAATTGGCACATTAAGGACTGTGTATTTATTTCTGAACAGTTATGGTTCTTGCAGATTTTAGTGCAAATCATACTAATAAAAGCCAGACCCCAAGTTTCTGTCACTGACTTCTTGTTGATTAATAAGAGTGACGAATACCAGTCTAAAGTAAACTTGGCAAAAGTTGCATACTTTCGTACAGAGAAACGGGTACAATTGCGATCAACACGAAGGTGAACACGCGATTGTCGACAGTTTCAGACTGGCAGCATCGCGAAGCTGCGGTTCTGGCAGATTGCATGCCTTACCCCACGCCTTGCCACGTTTGGTTCACAGAGTGCACAAGCCGCCCCGGCCGCCACTTTAAGACTTTTCCAGTACAGATTAGCCAATGATTGCATGTCCACCTCTGGACTGTGACTGTAGTCAAAAGGTCAATAAGTGCAAATGTAAGTAGTTTCCGTATTTAGTGCAAAGGAGTGAGTTGTCCGAGCACTTCAGAATATGGGTACGGTGACTGAAACGCATCCCTGACTGGTGTTTTTACCACGTCCCAAAAAGTGGTCCCTCCATTCTTGCCCGATGATATCACAGAAGTGTCGTGTTGACACCGGCGGCAATACTGGCAATGTCACAGCAGCAGTGGTGGATGCCGCAGATGCCTGCTCTGCTGCAGGTCACTCTCTAGCTTCATAATCCACAGAAGCTTCGGCTGCCAGGAGTTGAGACTTCGCGACAACAGTGACACTCACACTCGCTCGGTGCGACCTTCAGTATCGCAACATTCAACAACTTGACACGCCGACTTCTGTGATACCATTTGTTGCCACATCAAGACCACTTTTGATATACGGGCAGGATAGGGCACCAAACACGCCAGTTAAAGACGCTTTCTAGGCACCGTGATCTGGCTGGTGTTGACCTCCTTTCGTGCTGATTTTCATTCAGGCCAATGGCAGTGACCAAGTTGGCCACCTGCCCGTCCACCCAGCACTGCACGGTTGAGGTGCCGAAGAAGGGCAGCCCCGGGGCCAAGAAGCCCCTACTGGCCACTCTGAACCTGTCCGCCCCAAGCCCCGACCCTCTCATCGTCCACCCGGGGGTCGTAGTGGCCATGATGCACCTGGTGCCCTCCATTGCAGATGGACTCAACCCCCAGGTGAGGAATACATATGCCTACGTTATTACACCGCTGGATAGAACCGGCTCAAATAAATGTGGGGTGTTTACAGTGGATCGCAGTGCCGTAAATCGAGTCGGAGAAATCGGTGCCTGCACATAGGAAGCTGAAACTTTCACCGAATGTGCACTTAGGCAGTCTGTTTATTTGGTGAAATTTCACGGCGTAGCTTCCTTTCTGCCACAAAGAAGATGAACAAACTTTCCAGGATCAACGGTTGACGTTTGTCCAGACGACCGAGTTAGTGATGGATGGAACTTGTGGTGCCATCTCCCTATAGGTGCAGCGAGCAGATGACGCACTCTCTTGTCTGCTAACATCACGTGACGTTACGATGTCGCGTGATGTCACAAACACACAGCACAAACTTTACACTCAACACGGTGTCTTCGTCCACGTAATCAAGCTAGTGTGTTTTAGCTGCAGTCTACCATCGACAGCGCTTACAACCCTCGTGTCTGCCCGTGCCCAGTGTGCCCAGGCTGAGCTAACGCTGCAGCTGTACCTGGCCGAGGTGCTGCGCTCCCTGGTGCGCTCCGAGCGCAACCAGCAGGTGATGTGCGAGGCAGCCCTGCCTGGGGAGCTGCTCACCAAGTGCCGGGTGGCTCTGGAGGACGAGGCCCACCCACTGCACCTGCCCCTGCAGTACATGCTCGAGCGCCTCGCCGCACAGGCCCTCGAGCCCAGGGACCTCAGGTGGGAAAGGGGGAAAGCTTCTCTTTTTAGGAGAGGGTATGGGGACTGAAAATTGTTTTTTTTTTTTTTTATTAAGTTATCTATATGAAATTTTCAGGGTATGCTTATGACAGAAACATAGGAATAACTGTGAAGTTTCATTAAGCTGTGGTCGTTAGTTCTCAAGTTAGATGGGTTTAGGAGACCTCTTTGTATGCTTTATTCCTTTGTTCCAAGACGTGAAGAACTTACAAATGGTAGTAGCATTGTGAAATTCGCTATGAGGATTCCTAGATAGATATCTTAAGGGCAAGAAAAAGCCCTTTTTCTTTTTTTTTTTTCCAGAAATATTTTTGCAAAACATTGAATTTTATCTTGTCGGTCACACCCCCATTCATCAAATTTATTGCGTCTACAAACAATTTACAACACAGTTTAAAAAAATAAAAAGAAGACTGTCACAACATAACAAAGTTATTTAGGAACAGAATAAAAAAAAACATGAAGATCCATTCAGCAGTTCCTGAAATATCGCGGGGGCAAACACCACTGTCAGTGCAAAAGTTCATTTTGAGAAAATGACCAAGAAAGTTCAACACTGATTTAAAGAAGGACCCTGCAGAGTAGCTGGAGGTGTCCTTGTGTACTTCTTGATTCGCTTTTCTGTCTTTGCTTGGTGTCCTTGTTGGCCTTGTGTAGGCAGAGGGCAGGGCATCTTTTTCCACAGTTCGCTGGAGGGCTAGGCGAGCTAGCTGAAGCCCCAGCGAAACCGAGATCTCCTTGGTTGTCCTGTAGCAGCCAGCTTAAATCTCAGCACTACATCATGCAGCGCTATTTCGACAGCGATCAGGGATGCATGCTGTTCCTTCGGTATCAGGGACCAGAGAACCGAATGAAAAGACTGATGCATTCTGGGTCTTTGCCTTCAGGCACCGCTGGAGTAGAGAGGCATTGGAGAGACGTTGGTAGATGGGCAGCATAGCTGCACCTACATAGTCCAGAAACTTGTACTTGTGCAGGCTGTGGCTCACCATTTGCCTCAGCAGCTCTGTGACAGCACCATGAGTTTGTAATGTGGTTCCTCGTCAGTCAATGTGACGTGATAGTAGGTGCCCATCACTGCACGCTTCATTGCTTCCACATCCTTTGAGTTGTTCCTCAGGGCACAGCCATAGTAGTTTGTAAACTTATCGATGAAGAACTTGGTCAGCTTGCCCTTCCCACTCAACGGCTTGTCACCCTTCTGGACGATATTCCACAGTGCCGTCCTCATCCTCATTTAAACATGATTGAGGCACTCCTCCTTCACAGTGGAAATTATCCCATAGACGTCTTTTTCCACAAGGGCAGTGAAGATCCTGTTGTTCCCATCAGAGACCAGCGTCGTGTGGCGCAAGTCATGCTTGGTCTAAGACCGCTTGGAGAGGGTCAGGTCCATCCTCCTCGATTTGGCATCAGTGTTCTGCTGGCAGATGTGATGCTTGTGCCAAGAGTCATATACTCTGTCTCCAGGCTTAGGTTCTATCTGACATCCAAAGCACAGGTTGAATAGCACCATACCACCCAAGACTAGGCCTGTGTGGTACTCAGTTGATTGTTCCAATGCCAATGTGAAACATGTACCCACGCTTGTGCCACGTCTCATCATGCACTCTGGTAGCATCCTTGCAGAGGCCTGGCTTCATGCTCTTGTTGACCCAGCAGCAGCTGACTCTGCATAAAACTGTTCCAGGCACTGGGCCTCTGGCTCTCTAAAGGTCTTCTTCAAATGTTCCTGGAACGTTTTGCTATGAAGACCTCGGTGCAAGTCGTTCATAGAAGCCCAGAAGTCGTTCAGAGCTGTCTGCCCCTTTCCAATCTGCTTTGTGGCCATGATAGCTTGAATATTCACCTCAAAGGCCATTGAATCTTGCCAACATGACGAGGTCCAAGAATTCGCAACAACGCCACAAAGGGGGCACATTATCAAGCTTCATTTCTAATCCAAGCTTGGGTACTCTCTGGGATGATCACTTTAGCACCGAAACGATGCTTGCCGACCGCTGAGCAGAGGAGATTGCTCAGAAGATCCACCTGAACGAGACAAAACTTTGCACGGGCGCTTGTGGCTGTGGCAGGTGTGGGATCAAATCAGAAAAGCTTCAAACTTCCTCTTGGTTGCTGACATCGCACCAAGTTCAGCTTGATCGGCATCCCGATGTTAAGCTGCAGCTTCAATCTCTTTGGGCGTCAGGAAGTGAATCCGTAGGTGAACGGTGGACAGTGTGCTCTTACTTGCTGAAGCAGATGCAAGACAAGCACTGGGGTCCATGATCTTGAAAGAAACTGAGGTGAGCGGTCTGTTTGTGACTCCAGACGTACTTGGAACGACGATCGCATACTAAGAAAAATGTGCAGCAAAAGATTGTAAAGATGACAAAAAGCGAAAGCAGAGGTGACAATAGTGCGAGCAACGTGGGCAGACCACTGACAGAGCAGAACGAGCAGACGACGCAAGCAGTAATGGCGGGAGGAATGGGAAAGGAGAACGCTCCACCAGGAGAAGAGTACTCGTGTCGCGGCCAATGATAGTCGCCCACTCCCTTGAGTGCAGGCTCTGGTCAACCACGGCTTAAACACGAGATAGGAGGCTGTGAAGAAATCCCCACTGTACCGACACTGCACGGCTGGCGCCATTTTATGAAAACCAGCAAAAAGAACAGAAAGAATTTAACTTCAAAACAAGACCAAGATGGCTTCCGCCGGCTGCAGGGAAGGGAAACGGAGAGCGCGGGAATTTGGGCCTGATTTCGAGGTTTGACCACTTTTTGGATGCTTCGTGTGTCTCGTAATTAATTTTTTAAACATATGATTGAGTGAATTAGATGCTGATGATTACAGAGGAGGTAGTTAATGGACTAAATAACCCAAAAATGTAGTTCCCTGAAAAACAATTTTTTTGCGATTTTTTGGTTCCCTAGCACCCCGAAGAACTTTTTACAGAAGTAACCATTTGCAAAATTTGGCGGAATATGTACGCAAAAACCCACGTGATCACGGGAAGAGAGAGATAGCGCCTCCAGATATTTACTAGGGGGAATACATCTCACTTCAGTGAAATGCTTAGCGCTGGCTCAGACAGGTTTCGCATCGTTCGTATGGCTGGACGTGCTGCAGCGTTGGGGTTTTCTCCTCTGGATCGGGAGTGGTGACGAGTACCATATCTATCATAGTGGACATGGCGGCTCAAATCACACCGACCTAACCGATTTGTGGCACCCCTCGCAGAGCCTTCCTCCGCCTGGGATCCCCGCTCTGCTGCAACACGTTTGAGGCTCCCCCCGTGGCCGACTGCAAGCAGCAGGGGTCGAGCGTGTGCCTCGGGGCCCGCGCCCATGCGGCGGCGCGTCCAGCCAACCAGAAGGACGGGGGCCCCGTGCCCCTGACGCGCATCAAGACGCTGGTGTCGATCACGACCCCGAGGGACTGCCGCTTGCACGGGGCCCTGCTCACCCCTCCCTTTGTGGAGTTTGAGATGGCACCTGAGGGCTTCAGCTGCCTCTACCTGAGCAGCGTGGCCCCACAGAGCGCCTCGGGGGGACCTCCCATGGTGGGCGTCTCCATGGTCGGGGGCATGCCCGAGGGGGTCATCGGAGGCATTGGTACAGGTGAGTCCAAGCCTGCGTTTCAGCTGTGGCATCCTTTCAGCTGCGGCATCCTTTCAGCTGCTGCATTCTTTCAGCTGCTGCATTCTTTCAGCTGCTGTATTCTTTCAGCTGTGGCACCGTTAACAGATAACATGAAAGCCTGGTTTAGACATGTGTTGTTTGCATTCACTGCAGCCAAAGTGACAGCACATCGGGATAACCTTAACTCACGATTGCTTCAAAGGCTGCTTCTTTGCTTGCTTGCCACATTGTGTATGGTGAACACTTGTCTCGGTGACTATCGTTTCAGTCGCTCTGCAACCAATGTCGCTGTCTGAACCAAGTTTTAGCGTTATGTGTTAGCAGTGCCATTGCTTTGTAGAGGGAACACTGCATCAGATTTGATGGAAGACACAGGGGTTTTGGTAGCAAGTTCTATCTCTTAGTGAGAATGTTGAAACAATCTTGTAATATTGACTGAAAGGACTGAATTGCAGTGGAACAAGCAGTATGTTAAAGGTTATAAGGCTTGGTGACGCATTAACTCTGATTGGATGTAATCTAATGAGAGAGAAAAAAGTTCATCTAAAAAACATGTCACTGGATGAAAAAAAAACTCATATTATAATGTGTAAAGTAATAGTAATCTGGGGTTCAGAAAGTGTTGGTACAAAATGCACATTTGTTGATAATATCAATTCTCTTTCTTTGGCTATAGTACTTCTGATGCAAAGGGCATTAATATATATGCTTTCATGCATTTTGGTGAGTAATGTCAAGGGAAGGAAGAACAACAGACACAGAACTCTTTAAAGTTGTTTGTAACTTTTTTCTGTCCTTACATGCTTGCTGTTTCAATTTTATGGGACCCATGCATTGTGAGAAAGGTTGCACAAAGCACAACCTCTAAATCTTCTTTATGAGAGCACTGTGCATCATTCAGACATCATTCGTTACAAATTACTCTTCTTCAAAAAAGGAGGGTTCAAACATGTGCAGAGATGGTCAAGCGCCAGAGGAATTTGTCTTAAATGAGCGTGTGCTCACGCTCAAGCTCACATAACCTAAAGGCTGGCTCAGATGTTTGCATTTGGGTATGACCGACTGCATTACGACTGCTTCTGACCTCTTACGACAAGACAGTTGCTATACCAACCAATGTCCGCACAGCGCGTCATTGTGAAACGTGAGGAGTCACAATGCAGTCTGTTTCGCTGAAGCTCAAGTGTGTGAACCAGACTTTAGTCAAGCACATGCTCAAGCTCACGGAGCCTCACGCCGCCCATTCCGAATATTCGGCCCGAGCCAACGATGGCCCCCTTCTCTCTTGCTCCCCCCCAGGAGACCGCATGTTCCCGCCCCAGTCGGGGCTGTCCTTCTCGACGTGGGTGAGCGTGGAGCGGTTCAGCGACCCCCACGCAGACCCCCATGCGGTGCGACTGCTCACGCTGGTTCGCAACCTGCATGGCCGAGAAGACCACCTGGTCTGCCTGGTGCTCCAGCTGTCCTCCCGGGATAAGGCCCTGCTCGTCTCCACCCAGGAGATGTCCCTGCCAAACCTCTGTGAGCACTCTCCTTCATTCCCTTTCTCCTCCTTCTCAAGGATTCTATTTTCCAGTCTATAAACCCCACTTACTTATAAATAGGGTTTCTTTTTTTCGGGGTTATATTTTTCTTCGAATTTGGGGGTGTTTATTCGAGGTTTGTTTAAACGCAGAACGTGTCGTATGGTTGGCACCTAACCATATCCGGTTAGGTGCCAGCAACGGAAGTCGACAAGTTGACTGCCAGTTGAACGCTGACGCCGCGCTCGTCTCCTTACTGATTGAACAGCAGTGCCAGTCGAACCTCTTCCTTGAGTGCCTCCGTGTTTCTCGCGGACTGGGTAAAACATCACGTTTTCAGACATACAGCAGCGCTCTGCTTCATGAAATGAGCGTGCTCTGAGCTTGCTAGAGAAAGAGCGCAAGAGAGAGCAAGGGAAAAGCAGAGAAAAAATAAGCGGACCCTTTTGCCGCAACGGGTTCAGGTAGTTCCAAGTGCTTGGGTCTTTTTTGCCGCAGACTGGTGTCGGGGCTCTGCTCGGCATTGCCGCATTCCAATTGTTTTGTTTTCCGCACACTCTGTCTATTGCGACTTACACTCCAACAGGCTCCGAGAAGGTAGCATTTACACCGCAACCGCAAAAGATGGCACCTACAAGTAAGACTTCTACGGAGCTCTACCTTGCACAAAACAGGGCCGCTTCTTGCCATCCAGTCTTTACATGGGTACAGAGTTTCTCCACATTAACACATGACATTCTGTGTCACCGCTGCCTTTGCTTCTCTAGTACAGCAAAGGGTAATGTTTTCCTTACAGATTTGCTGCTTTTGTCGATTTTCAGTGTTGAGAAAAAAGACGGCGTTTATCGGGGCTTACCGTATTTACACGATTGTAAGTCGACTCGATTGTAAGTCAACCCCCCCCCCCCCCCCCTCCCCTCACATTGTACATAAAAAAAAAAAAAAAAACTTTAGATGCACATTTTACTACAGGCACGTGAGAACGGCAAAGTATCTGTTTCAGATGCCGAGTCACCAACACGCAAACGATGCCTTCTGGCGTACTTTGGCTGCACGTGCATGAGATGTCCAGGCATTATCGAAACTAGGAAGTTCACGCTGGAGGCGGGACAACTGAAGCTGCTCACTGTCGTTCTCTCTCCATCCTTGACTAGACTATGACTCGTCCGCACTGGTGTTGTCAGTCCCGTCATTATCACTGCCACATTCTCGAAGCACGTCGTCGGCGTCATCTCACGAAATCTCGCATTTCGCAAATAATCAACCACATCTTCCGCGCGTTATACATTTCTGACTGAGACTGAGAAACTGTTGGCAACATTTCTCAGTCAACACCGAAGAGAGAGGGCCAACGACCTGCTGTAATCGAGGACTCAGAGCCCCAATGAAAATGTCACGAATGACAACGGATGAGGTGATGATAACTGAAGAAACTAAACGTTTAATGGGGCGAACTTGTGCCCAAAAATAAAAAGGAAACAGAAGATGACAGAAGAGTGTCGCGGGCGTCGAAGTCGGCATAACAGCAGAGTCGAACGCTGGGGCGAGACTGATTCCGGTTCACCACGCGGAGCCCCTTATGTACACGCGTAAGCGTCTGGAATAATCGGCGTAGAATGTTTGACGCGTAGAACATTCGGACCTCGAACACGCAACAGGATTCTCGAATTTACCAGAAAACTAAATTGCAGGAATAACAAAAGATGCGTCGCTCCCAGGAATCGAACCCTGGCTTTTCGCGTGGGAGGCAGTCACAATAACCGTCAGGCCACGCGTGCGCTGCCTCCTTGGCCAGCTGCGCGCGCGGCAATATCGATTTTTAGTCTAACACTCGCAAGTTGTTCCGGCATGTATATTGCTTCAACAAATACGACTCTGTTGCGTCCGTGATCTGCGGTATTTGCTTCTGTGACATGCAAGTTTGTAGCGTATTCCCGTGTTTTTGTCCGCGATCTGCACGCGCGATATCGGCTTCTGTGACAGGCAAGATTGTAATGGGTTCCCGAGTCTTTATTGCACCATGAAACTTGAATCTGCTGTGTCCGCGCTCTGCAGTATCCATTCCCGTGAGATGCGAGTTCTCGGCAAGTTTCTGCAAGTCCTTCACACCTTAAAACTCGAATCTGCTGTGTCGGCCACTTGTGGTACCCTTTCCCGTGACACAGGAGTTCGTAGCGAATTCCCGCGTGTTTATCGCATCGTGAAACGTGAATTTGCCGTGTCCGCGATCTGCGGTATCAGTTCCCGCGTCACGTGGCTTGTAGCGGGTGCCCCGGTGCTTATCAATAATTTTTGATAAAGTTTTGCTGTGGCATTCCCAAAGATAGCCCACCCCATTTTTTTCACCATTTATCTCTTCATTTTGGGTGGGCATCCTTACGGGATTGTACGGTAGTCTAGTGAAATAAGAGTTTCTCAGACTGAGCTTTATTTTTCATCTGATATGAAATAAATTGTTTTGCAAAGGTAAGTGGTCTCAGGGCAACTACCTTGACCTGAAAAATTTATGTTTTGGTTATATCGCAGTACCGCTCATAGTGCGGATTTTCGCAACTTCCATCCTTGACATACGTTACATGTGGTCTTTACTGTACCTGCGTTTTCGCACAGCCAGCTTTGTGTCTGTTGCACGAGCAGTAACTTTAGCACATTCCTGCACTTCCCAAGCGCTTCAAGTATTCCTAAAATTGAGTCATTTAGTGGTTTTCGATGATGCTCAGCAAGTTTCTAAATAAAACTATGTTTATTTTCACTAAATAAAAAGCTAAATAACAAATTTAATTTAATTATCCGACTTGTCGTGACGATTAGCCCCCTAAATTACTTCCCCCTGGCCGTGCAACTTGCCTGCACAGAATGTATCAGTCTAGCTTTCACTATATTTTTTTTTCTTTTTAAATATGTAAAACTTTATTTTGAACACCTTGTATAACTGATGCCACCATAAGCGGCTTCTTCTGCTGCATCGCAAACTATACATGTTGACTGGAGTTTGCCTTCGCAGCCGGCGCAGACTGGGAGCCCGAGGTGAAAGAGGAAGGCTGCGTGCGCTACTGGAGCCCCGAGCTTCTCCAGGAAGGCCAGTGGCACCACCTGGTGGTGGTACTCAACCGGGCCGTCCTCAAGAACAGCTCTGTCTCCATCTACATTGACGGGCAGCACGCCTCCACCCAGAAGGTGGGATGCACCTTTCAGTGCCACAATATCGCCTCTGCGGTTTTTTCTTTGTTTCTTAGATAGTCGGTGTTGCAGGCCACGAGTCTTTCTTGTTTACTTTGCACAAGTTCTGTGTAAGTGTAAATCTGTGTAAGTGTAATCTGTGTAAATAAAAAGACCACTATTTGAATTTTTTTTTATGTTAGTTTGGAAGGACCACCTATCTGCTCCATTCCACGCCTAAATTTTCAGTGTTGAAAAATTACTTGTCCACTTTGGTTTAGAAGCGCATTGTGCTCGTTGTATTCGAAGGACATTGTATTTATTTTAATCATGTGCGAATAGTGGATTTTGAATTTGAAGCGAATGGTGATTTCAGCCGAACGTTTTCAAATCAAATATTGAACAGTTTCTCCAAGCATCTCAGCACGGCACCATACTTAAACGGAAACCCAGATGAGGTCATGTAGGTCGTTCCTGAGCTTCCACTTGTCCACATGTGAGCTCAGTTAATTATTTATAAACTGTGGCATATAAACGATTTGCAGATATCCTAATTGAGGCGATTTTTTAATCCTTGCTACATGCTAAAATTCTTTCTTCAATTCCAGATTTGCCAAAAAAGTACACCGAAGACACTTCACACTGCCTACATGTAGGAATGCAAACATTCCTACATGCAGTGCATTCCTACAAGCAGCGTGCCACGTCTTCTTTTGCACACGGCGCTCCGGCGGTGACATTACGCTCTCCCACTTTGCAGGCGTGACACCCCTACCGGCCTCACGGCTTCCGTGACGAAGCATTTGCATTGCTGTGCTTTTCTTTGTGTCATTTCTGAGGCACATCCGCTTTGACCTTGATAGCCAATTCACACGATGGACCGAATCGCGATTTTCGTCCACGAACCGTGTACCACATGACCGTCACGTCACCGATTCCTGCGATCCGCGCCTCGTCCGCGGACGCGCGGACTGATAAAGTTGAGTGTTTTTTTCACTCGCGGATGTTTGGCAGGAGATTGACTTGAAAGGCGTTTAGTCTGGCAACGGTACAATGTTTTCTTGTGTTTTTTCTTTGGACGATTAAAAGAAAAATGGCGCATTGTTGTGTTTTGTGTATTCGCTGGCTCATTTTGTCGCGCGATTCTTGGTTCCACACGTAAAAAAAACTGCAGAAACTTTGTCTGGCTGATGCGACGCAGGTTCCGGAACTCCTCCAGGTCAGTGCAAGAAGTTCCCGTCAAAACTCGTCTAGCACGCTGCGATAATTCTTGCACGTCCAATTAGGCTTTCAGTCAGCCATTCAGAGTTTTGAAAGCAAGGAAATCAAAGGAAGTGTTTGTGAGCGTCACCGAGCAAGACCTTTCTTGTGGCTGCGGTGTACTGGAGTGTTGTGCATGAGCGCTGAGTGCGTGAAGGCATCTCCAACAGCCCCTCTGCGAGTCCAGAACTTCGTCGCTTCTACGCGGAAGCCTTCTCGAGCAGGACCATGCCTGTGTCACTATCATGCTTTGGATTAGTAAAGCTAGTTGCGTTTCGTGTGGAGCCTATCACGGCGTTTTGTCTCGATCTGTACGTAACAGCGGCGTAGGATTCTTTATCGCAGTAGCAAACGTCGATTTCTCTCTTGGACGACGTGCCACGGTGCGATGTTCGAGTTTTGCGGCGGCACTGTGGGGTGGCGATCAGGTACGCTCCGTCCTCGCTGGCGTCTGCTCGTCGTCTCCCTCGTGTGGATGCGCTTGGGAGACGAATGAACCGCGGACATATCGTCACGTGATCAATCCATCCGCGGATCAGTCCGTCGTGTGAGTCGGCCTTGAGTGGCGCGTGCTTGATGCCGTATTGCTGTGACCATCTTTTGGGCACAACGCCGATGCCTTTTCTCGTAATGGGCCATGTAAGGCTTTCCCCTTAACAAGCCCAAATGATGAACGCAGGTTGTCGAGACATTGCTGCCAACGTAACTCTCGCATAATTGCAGCGGGTTAGCCCTGCTGAGTGCGCTTCTCACCGAGCACTCCTGCACTGTGGGGAAGCAATACCCGCGGAGCTTGTGGGATCCGTGGGTATTGCTTCCCCGCAGTTCACAGGCACTCCATAAGGAGCGCACTTGATGGGGCTAACCTGCTGCATTCAACGCTTGTAAAACTAGGAATATTGCAGATCACCTCGAAGCGAATGTTGAATAACGTATTCTAAACAAAATTTGTTTTATTTTACTTCAGATGTATGGAGCCCATTTCCCTTAGTACTTTACTTGAAGTGCCTAGGCTCTCAGTTACTCTGAACTTAAGTTTCAGTACTTTTAAGATGTACCTTTCCCAACTCAGAAGAAATGTAGTGATGCTCTACACCCTCCTCAAAACCACCCAAGAGACTGGCAGGAGCTTCCCGAGTATTGGAGAGGGAACAGCAGGCATGCATCTGCTGACCTTTGCAACTTCCTATACTTCATTCACCTTACGGTGGACCGCAGCAGACACTATGAGCCATCGGAGCAAATTCAACGCCATGGGAGTTTTCTAGTGACCTTCGGTAGAATCGTGTGATACGTTCCCAGCACTGGGGTTGGTGGGATAGCTGGTAGCATCCGCTGCGGTCTGTCGTAAGCTGGAACGTGGTATAGAGACAGGCGGCCGACCATGGAGCTCTTGCAAGAGCGACTCTGACCCCTGAATTCTCTCGCAGATCCCGTACATCTCGCAGAACCCGGGGGGCGGGGCGGCCAACTTGACGGTGGCCTCGTCGGTGTACGGCTTCATCGGCACCCCTCCCCAGTTCCGGCACCCGTCCCGCCTCATGTGGAAGCAGGGCCCCTGCCACATGGTGGAAGACGTGCTCTCCCCTCAGCTCATCCACCAGATCTACCTGCTGGGACCCAGCTACGTGGGAAGTCTGCAAGCACCGGTCATGATTGGTTAGTCATCTGCGCATAGTGGATTTTGAGTTTGAAGAAGTAACAGCAGATTTGGGCGAATATTTTGGAATCAAATATTGAATAGTTTCTACAAGCCTTTCACTACTGTTGCACCATGCTTTAGCGGAAACCCAGCTAAACTCGTGAAGATTGTTCTCAAGCTTCCACTTGTCCAGTAAGCTCATTTTAATCTGACTATATTATGGACTGTGACCTCAGGAAGTCCAGTGCCTTGGGATGGTAAGTAAATGATGGATTCAACGTAAAATTAAACTTGTAGAGATGTCAAGCCACACCTACCGTATAAATGCTTGTAGAGGCAGCACTTTCTTTTTTTTTTTTCAAACTTCGGGGTTAAGTTTTGGGCATACACGAATAAAATACAGTAGTTTTGGATGTACATAAAAAATATTTAGCAGTCATGTATTAATCCACAGTACAGCTACAGCGATAGCTGTGACAAGTCACGGGGAAGTCATTGGGCCTCGGCGTCACGTTCACGCACCGTGCATGAACAAAAGCGTTGGGAGCAAAATAGACATCTGAACTCTAGCAGACGACAGAGAAAACGCAAGCACACAACGTGAAGATTTCATTAAAACTGTGTTCCATTCTGCCTGTAGTGGCTGGCGTTTGGAATAGTGCCGGCCGGCGTTCGGCACACACTCCACTTGGGCCAATCGACGCCGCCACATAGCTCCCCTCTCCAGAGACGGAGTCGCTCCTGTGCTCTGTTTCGAACGCTTTTGTTTCTTTTTCGTTAAGGGCACGTGAAAGTGCATCTCCCAGCACGAGCTCTTAGCATTGACAGTGCTACGACAACATCTTGTTATCGGCTATTTTAATTTTTCCAGAGAGCATGTGCAGTGGGCATCGGGTACATAAAACCCCCAAGTTTAAAGTGGCTTGTTAACTCTATGGTATAGCTCAGCGGTAAGGCCTCTGCTTTGCGCGCAGCAGACCCAGGTTCGATTCCCGCGGGCGGCAGGCATCTTTTTTAAGGATTTGGCAACATCGACGACGGACGCCTTACATCGCCAACTACAACATCAACAGCGGACATCATTTCCGTGTGTTCAGAAGAGCCCATAACAGCTATGGCTGTAAAATGAATTTACTTGCGATCGCACACAGTGGTCTAGAGCACCTATATTTTGGTCTCAATCGCAACCTGCGGTATTCTCGGTGCTTGAGTCTGACTGCCTACAAGTGCAGCCAGAGTTGCTCTTTTGAGCCGTTTAGCAAGCATCTTTTCAGGGTTCGCGTTAGCCATTTATTCCGTAGAATTTCACCCTGATGTCAGTTTCGATGCAGACGCCGAGCAGCTGCAGCATACCAGCGGGCTCGCCTTGAACCACAGGTTTTGTTTAATACTGTACGTAGATCTTGTGAACACCGTATTCGCAAACTATTGCACGTCTGCAGCACTCCAAGGCATAAGTGACAGTACGAAAGTACTTGACCACTGCTCTCAGGTTGTGGAGTCCGCATAAACCAACTTAGCACAGCGAAACATTCCCTTCATGAAGCCTAACTGGCCTAACGGCGAAGTTCGAAAGCCTAAGTGTCCGATATCACAGCAGCAATTGTCACATGGGCAGGAGGCAACTGGGGTGATACAAAAACCAGAGAAAGGACAGGTTTCCTGAGCTTTGTTCCCATAGTCTTTCTTATTTGAACTTCAAAACATGACGAAAAGTGCGAGCAGAGACGCGTGCATGGCGGGGTAAAGATGGCGGAGACGCGGAGCATGCACCACATTGCAGAAGCGGTTGGCGCGCCTCGGGAAAAAGTGGTAGAAACCACCGTATTTACTCGCACAATGAACGCACTCGTGTAATGAACGCACCCCCCAAGTCGGCTCTCAAAATTTCGACTTTTTTTTCACTCGCGTGATAAGCGCACCCCCAACTCGGATGTAAAAATTTTGACCCCCTCCCCCACGCGCGCGAAATGAACACACTTTTTTATCCTGGTGCAGCGAGGTCGCGAATTCATGGGCAGTGTGGGCGAACAAAACGCCTTGCAAAAGGCGTTAAAAAAATTCGGAAAGATCCAACGGAAGCAAGAAAAAAAAAACATAGAGAGGAACTTTTTTTTTTTTTTGCACAGCGCAGTTTGGATTTTGGGTTCGCGTGCTGCCGCACGCAAGGTAGTAAGAAAGAGAAGCACTCTAAGCGAACCAAACAGCTTGCAAAAGGCGGCAAAAAAAACCCGCGAAACTAAGAGATAACAAAAACAAAGAGGAGCTTTTTTTTCTTTTTTTGCACAGCGCAGTTTGGTTACAGGGGGGGGGGGGTCGCCCGCCTTGCGCAAGGAGGTAAGAAAAAGGAGCGGAGAAGCCCTCTAGCAAACGAAACAGCTTGCGAAAGGTGGCAAAAAGAAAAAAAAAAAACAGGGAACTGAGAAAGAAAAAAACAAAAGAAAAAGAGGAGCTTTTTTTTCTTGTTTTTTTTTTGCACAGCGCAGTTCGGTTAGGGGGTCGTGCGTCGCGCGCAAGGAGATAAAAAAGATAAGCGGAGAGCCCTCGCCTAAGCAACGCCTAAGCAAACAGGGGCGGGGCGGCGTTCATTACGCAGGGTAAAATTTTTGCATTTACATCTATCTTTGCTCCATTTTGACGCTTTGTTTTTTAGTATTGGTAGTATGGGGTATAAAAAGCACTGAAAACTGATACACCGGCACAATGCCAATGTGTTTTGATGGGCGAAGGCATGTTGGGCTGCTCTTCTATTATAGTTCGCAGACAACTCCCCAGGCGGCGCTCGTTACTCGAAAAAAGTCCGTTGTGATATTCATACTTTTCCAAGTATTGATTGTGGTGGGTTACCCCGTTGAGTGCGCTTCTAACCGAGCACGGGTGCACTGTGGAGAAGTGACACCCACGGAGCTCGCATCCACGGGAGTTGCTTCTTCGCAGTGCACCCGTGCTCAGTAAGAAGCGCGCTTGCTCAGCGGGTAAGCCGCTGTGATCAATACTTTGAAAAATATGAATATTGCAGTTCATCTCGAAGCGAATATTGAATAGTGTATTATTGGAACCCACTGTTCAAAATGTTGAATGTTCGCACAACACTATGATATGTTGTGGGGTTCCTCGCAGGCTGCAGCATGGCATTCACATTGCATAAGCTTTAGTCATGGTTAGTTATGGGGTTCCTCACAGGCTGCTGCGTACCATTCACATTGCATAGGCACCGATCATGATTTATCATGGGGTTCCCTGCAGGCTGGCGCACATTGCATAGGTACTGATCATGATTGATATGGGGTTCCTCCTGCAGGTTGCTGCATGTCATTTCCATTATGTCCTGTATGCACAGCTTTGATATAAGGCTTGTCTTGCCGGGTTTAGTTTGTAGCGGATGCAGCCGGGACCGAGTCCTAAAAGTTCTAAGGATGTTTTGCTAACACAAAGGTGTTGAAAGCACTGCTGTTTTGTAATTGAGAGACGGGGTAAGCTGGGGCTTGTTTTAATAAAAGGGGATTTTGAGATAAGAGCATGTCTGCATCGAGAAACATCGGTGTGTATCTGTCTCGAAAGCTCGATTAAATTTACTGCATACCAAAGACCATTATCTTCAGTAAAGCAGCATCTCTATTGAGTCATTTTAAATTGCAGTTTTTTTCTTTCCTCACAATTTCGGGGGATATGCCCACTTTGCTTACCCTTAGCTCTTCAAGTCACAGGACCATATTTTTTCTTATGGATTCTAATGATTTAAAAAATTCAGTAAGCTTAGTTTCAAACATGATTACCTTAATTGTTGTGCAGAATATTTTTATTAAATCCAGGCAAAGTTATTATTAATAACCTAGTTGTAAGGGACCCTCAAATTTTTGGTTATGAAAGATGACAAACTTAAAAAAGCTGTTAACACAAACTTCGATCACTCATCAAATACAAAAAATTGAATCGTGTCTTTGCCATATCTGATAGACTGGGGGACGCAGAAAATGTGTTAAAAATGATCTGGGCATGTGCTGTGCGTCCGTGTGTGGCATCACGTGACACTGTCACGTCACAGGAGGTCACGTGACCAGTGTGTCGGTCAAGCATATCGCTTTTCTTGTGAAACCCAGCCCTATAACGCATTCTGTGTTAATAGAGAAGCATACAAGACTGTTTAACATGTATTGCTTTGTTTCTTTCAGGCACAGAGCCACTGCCCCCTCTTCTGAATGAAGAGAAGGTTGTGTTTGGCCTGAATGCCACCGCGGTGTCTGTGATGACCCTGGCCAAGATCCGCAGGGTGTACAGCAAGGTGGACTGCAAGTCCATTGCCAAAATGGTGAGACATGTGGGCTCTTACTCACCTGCTCTCCACGCTATGTGCACTCTTTGAAGAGAAAGGTTGGCAGCTTGCAAGTTCTTCGGTCAGTGGTGACACGAAACCTTTGTCACAGAATTAGATGCTGGTATTCTCACTGCTTCATTATCAGGTACCGTCACCTCCGGCCTCTATCTGCAATTGTTCTAGGGCTTGAAACCCAAATATGTCATCCTTTGTCTAATATTAGTATACTACAAAGATTCCCCAGTGTTCAAAGTGTGGGTTTCTGAGACATTTGTCAGTCTTTGACATCATCACCTTTCTGAGTCAGTGACGACACGCAGTTGTTGTAGCTTCATTACCTGTTCCCTCTTAGCGTTTGGTTCTTCCTATGTCTCCCATTTTTATAAAGGCATGACGCAGCCTTTGTTTTGCTTGTACCAGTTTGGTAATACAGTACCAGTGAAGGTAAGTCCCTTAGTGGAAGAATTGAGAAATTTCACTGTAATCAACACACACAAAGGTCTCCACCAGGGGAACAGAATGCCATTTGGAATAACCGCAGCATCAGCTATCTTCCAGTGCATCATTGAAGAACTCGGAAACTTGCCATACAGAGATGCATTTCAGAATGGCATTGTGGTAACTGGCAGAAACGATCAGCATATCACCTGTGGAACCTGGACATTGTACTGCAAGAACTCATTGAACCCGCTTGGGAAAGAAAAGATGCTTTTTAGGGGCGAAGCTCCGTAGGGTCTAGCCTTGTCCATCCGTCCGGGGTCTGTGCTCACATCGATTGCACTGCCTCCGGGATCGGTCAACTTTTAAAAAAAATAAAACATACACCTGCACAGGGGTTCGAACTCAGGACCTCTTTCTTATGAGGCAGACGTTTTAACCACTACGCTACACTTCAACGTTGCATGTAGCCGCCCAACGTCTACACAGGAGAGGGCGCTGCGGTCGAATGCATATATAATTGCGTTAAACTTTGCAAGCATTGGTTCAACGTGTATAGACGAGAGGGTGCTGTGGTCAAATGCTCAACTGCGTATATAACCACGATCCATACCACCCATTCTCTTTCTGACATGGACCGTTAACTTAAGCGGTGGAGATGCGTTCCCAGGGCTTCTAGCGGATCCAAGCTGATCCGCTAGAACAGGGGTTCTCAAACTTTTTGGCCTCACGGAACCCCAGGTAGCCTTAAAAACTGCCGCGGAATCCCCCCCCCCCCCCCCCCCCCTCCATATTTGCCGACGGAGAAGCAGCAGATGCACAATTGTAAGGAATTTTGCTTGTGTTGCTTCCCATATATCCCCACCATATCAATCGCAATGTCAGTACAAAGTAAGATGAAGGTGCTTTGCATGGTCCCGCCGTGCAGCCTGCGGCATGGGGGGGGGGGGGGGGGGGGGGTTGCAATTTGGGTGTTCGCAGAATCCATGAGACCAGCTCGTAGAACCCAAGTGTTCCCCGGAACCAAGTTTGAGAACCCCTGCGCTAGAAGAACCACTGGCTCTGCATTTCACCGACCATAAAGCAGTAATGATGAAGTTTAAACGCAACACCGAGCTCAGCGCTACCTATGAACAATAAAATCAGTATCATCAGCACCACCAGAGCTTCGCCCCAATCAACATCATTCACCACGTGGAGATGCGGCCTTTTTTTTCATCCAGGACTTCGTTGATTACCTAGGACATGTCGTAGACAAGCTAGGGATTTACTGAAATCCCAAGAAGGTGGAGGGGATCCTTCAAGCGAAGACGCCAAGAGGCTAAGAAGAACTCGGAGCATTTCTGGGTCTGTTGAACGACTACGGAAAGTTCGTTATCAACACAGCCGACATCCTACATCCGCTGCATGAACTGCTGCGAAGAGATAAAAGGTGGGAATGGTCGAGACCATGCCAGAGAGCCTCCGACGAAGTGATGAAGCAACTAACCAACCAGAGTCTGCTAGTGCTCTATGACCCTGCACTTCCTCGGGAATTGCCCTGTGATGCATGGAGTCATGGAACTGTTGCGGTACTTAAACATGCATCATACAACAAGCGACAAAGGCCCATCACCTTCATGTCAAGAATGTGCTCCGAAGGTGAGTGAAACTACTCTCAGGTCAACAAGAAGCGTTGAGCCTAGTTGAAGGCATAAATAAATTTCACCAGTATTTGTTTGGATGCCATTCACACTGAGGACAGACCACAAATCCCTGGAATCAATTTGCAATCCCGATAAGGGAACCCCAGGCACGGTTGAAGCAAGAATGCAGTGATGGGCCATCATCTTGTCAGGGTATGACTTCGACATGAAGTATGTGTCAGTCGATAAGAACTTGTAGCAGACACACTGTCAAGACTCTTAATGACTGACAAGAGTGCTACAAAATTAGAAACTAAAAGAATGGACATAATCAAATGTCCAGAAATGGCATGTCATAACTTCTTGGTGGCATACCAGACAACCCCGCACATGACAACTGGCTCAACACCTGCCAAAATGATGATAAAAAAATTTCGCATGGGGTTTGACCATCTTAGACAGTCAAGAACCGATTTGTGATCAAAACAGGCGAAGCAGCACACCTCGCGTAACTCTAAAAGACAGCACCTACATCGGAAAGACCGAGTCGGGCAAGAGCATGCAGGAACTACAAGAAATGGTTGAAAGGCGCCGTCATTCATGTTCTAGGAAACCGAACATACAAGATTTGCACAAACAACTGAAGTACCTGGAAACAGCACATTGAACAGCTGAGACATTTACCCTAGGAGGAAGAGGGAATATTTACTAATTAAGACGATAGCCTCAGGTGCGCCAGAGCATAGAGAAAGTTTGCCCCTTCCCACAACATTGGTCAGAGAGATGGTTCACCATCTCCAATTTCCAGGGATGACTCTCCAAACCTGATTCAAGACATCAGAACAATTCTGCAATACCTGAAGCAGGCATTCCAAATTCGTCTGCCACGCAGCCTAATGGCACAAGGGGGGATTCTTCTTTTTAGAAGACCAACATGGACACAGACATGCCAGCCACCTACCCGGCTAGGCCTGTGAAAACGTGCGCTGTGTATCGCAAACACGACCTATTGAGCCCAAACAACGTCGTATGCAACCCGAGACACCGGGAGGGAAGAGCCGAGCAGGGAGGCCTGGAAGCCACAGACTGGGCAGGGTCGTGGCAGACCAGACAAAACGCTTCTGGTAGCTCCAACCGATTGTATCCTAAACAGTTAATTAAATATACAGTAATCTCTCATTATAATGAAATCGCCTTTTTAGAATTTTTGCTTTTATTGAATTTCAATGTGGTCCCATCTGAAAGGCACATATTTTTAATCGGATAATTCTAAGTGTGTTGGCTTAAGAACTCAACAATTACTAATTCAAAGTTGCAAGACCCAGGAGGCTGACTAACCCAGTTGCCCGGTAAACAGCATTGGTGTTGTATTGTATAAAGTGTTAACATATGAGAGCTCAGCCTTGGCCCTGCCGTTCTAGCTGGGCATGTCATCTCACGAGAATGCGACTCCCATCCGGATCCTGCATAACTCGGCAGCTCACCTCGCCGGGCCCGCCCGATGCCTGGGGGGCGTCCTGATTGGATACCTGGGTGAGTTGGCACTATGCATTCCTCTATTTTTTTTAACTCTTCTTAAGCTTTGATGTCACAAGTCTCACTTCTGTTTCATTGTCCTAATTTAAAGAGGAAATTTCTAGGAGCTGCAGTTTACACTTTGGATATTTTTTTTGCCACTAAAAAGCTTTAGAGAAGTGTAGTAGCTAGGTATTGTGAAAAAGGCAACCGTTATTTAATGCTCGGAGCAGTCAGTTCGACTAACAGTGGAGAGCCATGAAAGGGATTTCATTTCACTTAATTTATTTTCACCCTTAAAGGCCCATTTAGAGCATTAGATAAGAAAGGGGCAATATGTGGAATGGTGTAATAGTAACACAGAAGCAATAACAAATATACAAAAATAAACACAGCAGAAGTTACATTTGTATACTCGATTAAAATGGGCTGGTAGAAGATTATAAAACTCCGCTGGGGCATCAGTGAAGTTAACGATGGAGGATGGCAGCTGGTTCCATTCAGTGATGGCATGAGAAATGATTGATTTGTTAAACGCATTAATTTTACTGAAGATTTGTTTAATTGGACTAGAGTTATTCAGGCAAGATGACATTTTATCGAGGAGGGAGGGAGTAAGGGAGGGAGGGAGGGAGGGAGGGAGGGAGGGAGGGAGGGAAGGCAAAGGAGAGAGGAGAGGGGAGGGGAGAGAGAGGAGAAACGAGGGAGGAGGGGAGAGGAGGATGCTTAGCTCTGGGAAGTGGTAGTAAATTTTATGAAGAAGGCAAATGCTGGAACGCGTCCTCCAGGTTTGCAGGGGTGCAAGTTCAAGTAGACTTTTTAGAGAACAAATACTAGTGGAGTAGTTCTAAAATGATAAGATAAACAAAACTCAGAGGGGCATCAGATGTATTGCTCAGATGTTCCACTGCCACACTGCCTCAACCAGTCAATGCAAATTTTTTTTTTTTAATACTAGTGCAGGGTTTTTTATGCATTCAACCAGGGGCTTTAACTTGGACACTCAGCAAGAAAGTCGGCGAGATTGCCTTGCTGCGATTGGCCAAGATTGAGCCACCGCTAACCAATTGCGGCAGTCGGCGATCTCGCCGACTTTCTCACAAAGTGTTCAACTTAGAGCCCCAGGTTTTCACAGGAAATGAATATCATTTTTGCATGCCTTTATAATATGCATTTCATGTTCCCTTTTTGTGTAGGTGGCGTGACATAACTTGCGTTCTCCATTAAACATCCTCTGCATCGAATTAACTGAGTTAGATGCTTTTTTAACTAGGGTTGTTGACAGGCTAAGAATGCTAGAGAGGAGCCTCAAATTGCCCCGCCTCCAGCACAAGCCTGGTGGTATTTGTGGTTTCATGTCTCCACGTGCACGCCCGAGACTTGTTTGAATGCCCCAACGTTTTTGAAGGTACCGAGCGTTTGCCAGAGGCAAAACCCTCCCAGTCATTCTAACTCCCACAATGACAACCCCAGGTTCAGCTATTCACAACTTGCGACAAGTTGTCCGCCTTCTGCCCCTTACTTCAATGTTGGAGCCGATAGAAGCGTGGTCGTTCCGCTTTCCTCCGCACATTGGCGTGCGCCAACGACCATTTCATGCAGGGGCACGCACGTTCATCCCCCGGCCGGTGGCTCTGACCCTGGAGAACATTGGCGGAGTGTCGGTGCTCCTGGGCCTGGTGGCCATGGCGCACGATGTCGAGGGGCTGTACGCCACCGTCAAGGCACTAGTGTGCGTCGTACGCAGCAACAGGGCCGCCCAGCAAGAGATGGACCGCATCAAAGGCTACCAGGTACGTCTCTATAGGGCCGAATGCATCGTAGAGCTGGGTTTCGCGATAAAGGCATCACGCTTTACCGACACAGGTCATGTGACCTTGTGACATCAAGTTCAGGCGTCACGCGATGTCACGTGACTTGACGGGAAGTCTGCGCGTCACGTGATATCACGGTGCCTCGTGACATCACGATATTGCATGACAGGATGATATCACGTGACCTTATCACGTCCCCCGACCCCCCCCCTCGACGCCATCATAATATCATGATCCACATGACATAACCTGATCCCGTAACATTGCACACACCGCACATGCCCAGTTCATTCGCAGCACGCTTTGTGCATCTCGGAAGTTATCAGATGTGGATGAGACATTCTTAGATATTTTGCTTTAACAATTAAAAAGCTCAGTTTGTTTAAAACTTAGTTTGCTATACGTATGACTCTCAGCCTCTTTCTGCGATGCACTCCTGTAAAGGAAGAGCGTCACACGGGTGTCGCGTTGGCATTCGGCTGAAACTTGTATGCCCTCGCCAATCTAACTCGAGACTCACCCTACACCGACGCGACGCTTGCGTCGACCCACGCCCTACACTGGCAGGTGACCCGGAACATCCAGCACTGTGGCCTCATTATCTAGGTGTTAAGCCAGCACCCACGGTCACGTGATGGCAGAGTATTTAGGATGCAAGGGGGAAGAGAACAAGCACATGCTTCGAAGAAACTGGAGAGGTGCAAAATTGTGGGGTGAAAGCTGTGGGGGCGCAACCACCAGGAATGCTAAGTTGGCGTTCCCTTCCCGCTGGAATGCTAACTTCGGGAGGGCTTTCTTTCCAAGATGCTAAGTAGAACGAAGTATTCGTGCACCGAGGCACCAAAACGACCAGTTCCGTGCGAATCCACTTTGCAGTCACATAGACGGCCGCTAGACCTTATCGCACCCTATTGTATCCTTATGGACCTTGCGTGGCGGCACCATTGCCAATATGTGCCCAGAGAGCAACGCACTTACTTGTGCAAAAGCCCTCTGACGGATGCAGTGCAAGACTCAAAGCGACGCGATGCGAGGTCGCCGCAACTGTGTCCATTTGGCAGGTGCTACGTGAGACTCATGCGTGCATGTGCTCTCAACACGTGAAGATTACTAAGCAGCACGTGGAAGCAGCTCAGATAGCTCTAGTAAAGCGCTTGCTTTGCGACCGTCGGCCTTGGGATCAAACCCTAAGAAACTTGCTGCGGGCTTTTTTTTTTTTTTAAGCATTTAGCAATACCGACGACAGATACGTTACATCATTTCAAGGGGGGGTTAAGTATAACCATCTTTACCGTGATAAGTGATCTATGGAGCAAACTTTTGAATGCAAACATTACGGTGGCTAAGAAGGGATGAAGCTTACGTGTCCTTCCTGCTTACCATGCACAACGACAGACCCTGGCGATGCTGTTCAAGAAGAAGAGCTCCCTGCTCAACAGCCACATCTTGCACCTGGCCTTCTCCCTGGTGGGAACGGTGGACAGTGGCAGGGAGACCACTGTCATCCCAAATATGACTGCCTTTGAGGACCTTCTCTGCAACCTCGAGGTGGGTTTTCTTTATTTTTTTTTTACCCTGTTTTTTTATGGCTTTCCTTGTCAACTGTGCTTGAGAAAAATCTACAAAGTAGAAAATCAGCTCTAGATGCAGGTTGACCTTTTTGTGTTTGTAACCAAGCAATCCTTCTAAAAAAAAAATCCGCGCAAACAATGAAAAGAAAAAAAAAAAAAAATTCGCCAAAGACATTTTAGATTGCATACATATAGAAATGCAAGAGCATTCCTACATGCAGTGCATTTCTACAAGCTGTGCACCACGTCCTTCTTTTTCAAACGGTGCGCCAGCAGTGACTTCACGCTCCCCCACTGCACAGGCGCGGCATCCCCTCCGGCTCCACAGCTTCCGTGTCGATGCTTCTGTGTTGCTGTACTTTTCTTTGTTTTATTTCTAAAGCGCGTCCGCTTTGTCCTTGAGTGCCCGGCTGGTTTCTGTGACGAAGCATCTGATATGACGCGTCGCAGCCAATGGGAATTCCGCTTGGGGGTGCCGTTTTTCTGCTACAAACAGTTACAGCTGCAGACAACGCCGTCTTTGCTCCATGGGACAGTTAATGCTTTCGCATTAAAAAACAAAAATGAGGAAAGGCAGAAATTACGAGACAAGGACACTATTTGAACTGGCAGCTTGTCCTTGTCGTGTCTACGCTTATCCTAGTAGTTTGCTTGGTTTGGCCTTCACTTTGTGTTGTTAGCTGGTTCTCGATACTGTATTTACACGATTGTAAGTATATTGCACGTCAGCAAAACGAGAAAAAGAAATTATAGTTTTGAGTGCACTCTACGGCGAACGTTTATTATTTACTGAATTACAATTCGTTCTGACTGGAGCTTCTGTTCATGTCGTCATCACTGCTATGATTCCTAAGCGTATCATTGTCCAATAAAATCTTCTGCATTTCACAAATGACCGTATCTTCCAAGCTGGCTCGGGGATCGCGTGGCACATCACGGGCAGGAACTGATCGTAGATTCCTGCAACGTGCATTGCAAGCTCGGCCTCTGAACTCCAAAAAGCATCCAGATCTTAGCCTGTAGAAACCTCTTTGTTTGCTTTCACAATCAAAGATTGTATGCTGTTGCAGATGCCACTGGTGCACTGCCCGCTCCGACAAGTCGAACTTGCGTCCAGCAGCGCAGTTGTTGGTTACTTTCGCACAAAGAATGGTTATAACTGAGCACCGAAACCCTAGACCATAAGACCACATCCGTCGTTACAGAAAATTGTGGCCTGGCACCCGCCAGCACGGTCACATGGTGTCGTTTAAAACCTAAATCATTCAAACAAAGAATGTGCAACCGCATGATCAGAGGTTTCTGGGCGAAGCCAGTGAGGCTGTTTTAGTGGCCGTTCCAGCATGGCCCTTACATTAACTGTCGCCACACCCTCGGAACTCGACGTATCGCTGCACGGCGCATAACTGTTCATCCTGTTTTGTCTGCCACAGCATTCCGCATGTTTCGTGCTGATATGCGATTGTTTGCAAAGATTTAAAAAAAAGTAATTACAAAATCAGTGCACACAATAGTGCAATGTTACAGGTACTGCTGTATGAACCGCTAAGAAACCAAGGCGTTGCCGCTATCACGGCTGCTTTGGCTTTGTTAGTGGTGGAAGGCTTTGGTTCTGATTATAAGTCAACCCCGCCACCCCAGTTCAGATTTTCATAAATTATAAAATTGTGTCAAAATGGCAGATTGCTAAGTAAAATTTTATTTTTAGCTTCTGTTAAAACAAATCTCAGCAAGCAAATTTTTGCAGTGTAGTACCTTTTATGTACCTCTCAGTCAGTTAAATTTAGAGAGCTGACCTGTCATGCATCTTTCTTGTGGCCCTTTCAGGTCTGGCGAGATGCTCCTGGTGACTTGCACAAATCTCTCTACGAGCACTTTCATGAGTTGATCACCGAATCCAGGTGAGTTCTGTTGCTCCCTTGCACACTCATAGTCCATTTTCAACATGCATGGATATTTAGGTTTTTCTCTACTCAGGCAGTAAAGGCTAAGTTACTAACTTTGGTGAGATGAACGACATGGAAATAGACAGAAATTGAAGATGGTTTTATAAAAGCATCATTTACAGATGATGGATGGATACCAATGTTGTATCTTACAAAATCATTCACAAAATGTCGCAATTTCTAGCAAACCCTGATCTTTTTTAGCTCAATATTCAGCTACCATATTTTCCTTATAGACATGCTTTCGAATTAAGCTCCATCACGTCTACTTTATCACAAAACATCTGGAAGCCAGTCATTGTTATTTATGGAAGGAAAACGGCGAATAGCAAGGCACCGCTAGTGTCTGAGCTCGAAAATACTATGTGGACTTTCCTTCCGAACGTGCAAGTGTTCCAGTACAAGTCACTTTTTTGTATTCCATTGCCTCGTCATTCTCCGAATTCCCTTTGCAAACAGCACCTTTTCTTTCTTCATTTCGTTCGCACGAAGGTAGGCATACGGGACAAAACGTGGCAGTTTTATGCATTTCTTATACCGCGAAAGCGGTTCTGTGCTTGTTTTTGTTACGAAAGCGAGGTGGAGAATTTATAATGGCTGCGTAGCGCCATTGTCGGCGGTGTCTTTTTAAAAGGTTCTTCGTCTCACATGCAGCGAGCAGAAGGCGAACCTTCGGATCCTGCGTGAGCTGGAGATGGTCACAAGGCTGCTAATGATGCTGCGCGACCCGTGCCTGAGCGCCTCCACGGTGCGGCTGCTCTGCAACCTGCTCAGAACTCTGCTGCACAGCACGCAGCGCAGCGGAGACATCCTTAGGTGAGGACAACTTGGGATCACAGTGCTGCCACGGTGCTTGAAATGCGTCTCTGACTGCCGCGCTTACTGTGTCCTAAAATACGGTACCTCAATTTCTGCTCGACGACGTCGCAACAGTGTCGTGCCGTCACTGACCGCAATACTGGCGACGGGCAGAAGTGGACATGACAGACAGGGAAGCTTCATCAGCCGGGAATCGGGACGCCGCGACGACAATGACACTCGCGTTCGCTCATGCTTTTTGCCAGCACTTCCAGCATCAACCACCGGGATTGCGACGTTTGACAACTCGACACGCCGGCTTCTGCGACGTCGTTTGTTGCCACTTTGGGACCACTTTCGATGCATGAGCATACTATACGCACTGGTCGAAGACGTATTTTAGGCACCATTGTTTCGTGATGACAGTTTCGGGGGGAAAAATCTAGCTTTAAGTCCACTTCAATTTACGTCTGTTCCAGTTAATACCGTATGAGGAGTCTGACGCAAAGCGTCCTAGGATGCTAAGAAAAACATTACTCAAAATGTAAAGAAAAAGTACAATTTGAAGCCTTAAGCGACGGTGACATTACTTAAGACACAGCTTTAGAAACAACATAAAAAATGACCGCATCTCCACGTGGTGAATGATGTTGATTGGGGCGAAGCTCTGGTGGTGCTGATGGTACTGATTTTGTTCATAGGTAGTGCTGATGCAAAGTTTAACACGATTATGTGCACATTTGACCGCAGCACACTCTCCTGTATAGACGTTGAGCGGCTACCTGTAACGTTTCATCCGTGACATCCCCTGCTCTTGAGTTACTACCACTTCTCAGAGCCCCCTACCCGTCCCGCAGTTGTGGCCGAGTGGTTAAGGCGACAGACTAGAAATCCATGTGGGTCTCCTCGCACAGGTTCGAATCCTGTCGACTGCGCAAAATTTTTCTTTTTTTTTAAGAAGACAGATGGGTGGCAATCGATCTGAGCACGAACGCCGGACGGACAAGGCTAGACCCTGTGGGAACCATGGGGTTCCCTATATCCCTATCCAGGCCTAGCTTCGAGCAGGCCATGGGACTTGTCGTCACCAACGGCGTCGGCCTCTTGGATACAAGGAACCGAGGCCGAATTCCCCGAAGGGGCCGGCGCTCCCTTGCCCACTTTGGGTGAATGTGCCACCGGCCAACCCTTGAGAGTTATAATGGACACGACTGCTAGTGGCCTCCCCGGGTGCGTCCATTCTCCGAGGCTACATAAGCTGGCCCCGAAGGAGGACCAGGGGCTCTCATCGGCGGAGGCCCTTGCTCTACGGAGCTCGGTTTTTCTTTGTGGGCCTCCAACTTTCCGTGAATCTGTCTAATGCGGCAGCGCGGGAAACCTACCGGGTGATACTGGCAATTGAGCCAGCGCCCAGACTTTTCATGTCTAAGAGCGAAGCGTGTTTGCATTTCAGTCAATAAACACGTCTTTATCCGGACCCAAGGAACCTTCTGTGTTTCTAAGTGGTACCACCACAAAGGGGAATCCCACATTTGGCGCCCAACGTGGGGTGCCAAATGTGGGATTTCCCTTTGGGAGGTACCACTTAGAGACACAGAAGGTTCCTTGTATCCGGGAGGCCGCCGCCATTGGTGACAACGACTCCCACGGCCTGTTCAAAGCTAGACCTAGATAGGGAGTGTGGGAACCATGGGGTTCCCTATACAGTCGACTCTCGGTAATTCAAAGTCGCATAATTCAAATTTTCGGTTAGTTCGAAGCATGGGACTGGTCCCGGCAATCGTATGTACAATGCTACGGGGAAAAACACGCGGTAATTCGAAGGCTAAATGTTGGGAGCTGGTTAATTCGAAAGATTTTTTGTGGTCGCCTAAAGTCCGGAAACCCCGAAAGCAAAAAACAAAAAAACAAATGTCAAGCGCAAATACGCAATGCCACAACCCGCGGCCGCGCCACTGGCGTCGCCGCACTAGGGATGATGCAATCTGATGCAATGTGCGACGGCGCCACGGCGCGCTGCGGCTCGGCGGCGAGGAAGCAAACAAACAGCCTTGCGCGCGCGGCTGTTTGCTGATTTGCTTTGGACTCTGCTCTCCCACTCTGCGCTCTCCCCTCGAGAGGAGAGAGGAGTTTTGGCAACGAAGATCTGAAAGTGTGTTGGCTCGTTCGTACGTGCTTTTGCACAGCCCAACAATCGCTCCGTCGCGCTGCTTTGGTACTATCACGATGGCTCAACGGGGTAAGTACCGTCCACTGGACCTCGCTACCAAAGTTAAGGTGCTGCAAGAAGTCGAAGAGAGTGCGTCGTCAAAGCAGATGTCGATGTTGACAAGCACGTCGAGGTCTCTGGTCCGCTTTCGGACGTCTAAATAATCAAAGTGGTTAGGCCTGATGTGGTGATGCAAGGAAGTGACGATGACTCTGACAACGAAGAACTCTTGCCGCCGTCGATTCAGGCGCCGAGTGCCGCTGATGCGGAAACTGCATTGGGCGTTGTAGAACGTTTTTTCTCGGGCGAAGAGAACGCCGAAGACGCCTTACGATGCATGCGTAACTTGCAGAGCCGAGTAACGGTGGCGCGGATGCATCAGCGAAAACAGTCTAAGATCGACCAGTTCTTCTCCTAAGTGAGTACTGAATAAAATAAACTCAGTTTTATATGTGCTTTTTTAATTCGAAGTTCGCTTAATTCGGAGCATTTTGCTGTCCCTGTGAGCTTCGAATTACCGACAGTCTACTGTATCCCTATGTAGGTCTAGCTTCAAGCAGGCTGAGGAGTCGTCGTCAACAATGGCGGCGGCCTCCCGGATTCAAAGAACCTTCTGTGTTTCTAAGTAGTACCCCCAAAGGGGAATCCCACAACCCTAAGGAGCTAAAATCGTTCAGCCTTTCCACTCTCGTGAAGAACAGTGATGTGATTGCTGCGCCAATTGCACCAAACTGCGCCAAGGGGCTAACCCTGCAACATCCTGCTACATTTCGCCAAAATGTGGCTAATCTGCGCCAAGCCTGCTCCAAAGGACCAATTTTGGTCGCCTTTCAAAAACGAAACTAAACTGAGAACCGTAATTGAGCGTGCATGAGCTTGGTGGCACAAAAGACGCCGCCGGACACAATGTACCCTGCATCAATCGTCTATTCGGTCTTGCATGATTTTTCCCGTCGTCTCGCGTTTCGCGCTCTCGTCGTCTCGGGAATCTCGTCTGGCGTCTTTCTTACTTTTTTTATTTTTTTATTTTTTATTTTTTTAGCGATAGACGCGGGCCTGTGCGGACGCTCCAATGTTAGTGTGCCGAGTGCCAGACATGCCGCGCGGCAAGAGTTCCTTGCGCGGCGAGTTACTTTGTGAGCTGAAGCGCTCGCGCAACCACAGTAGCCGTGGTTGCGCGACGTCGTGTGTTGCCGTCCCCACGTCGCTGCAGATATGGCGCTTTCTAAACTGAAACGCATCAACATTCCTGCTCTTGTTTAAATCATACGCTGCTACAAAAATCCCTCTTTAACTCAATGACTGCTTGGCAAAGTTTTGATTACCTAGGTTTCTCTCGATAAGCTTTCTTTCGAGAGGGACCCCGGTACGTGAAAAATCTGCCGCGAAAAAAGTTGATGACGAGAAGTGAGCTAAAGCAAAGAAGGCAATGTCTGCACGCTGAACCCGCACACCGCGCTTGTTTGTCTCGAGTTCAGTCGTTGCACAAAGCGGCCCAAGAACTTTTTGACCCTGATTCGCAATGTCTTGCATCGATATGCTCAGGTTCTTTTTTTCTGTGTGTATAGCCTCTAGCTCGCCTGCCGGCCTGGCAAGCACGCGCCGCTGGACTGTTTATTGTCGTATGCTGGACAGTTACATTTTGCATACTATTTTGGGAACCAGTTGGCGACGGAGCGGAGTGGCATGGTTTCGGTTTCGGTCGAACAGCCGTTGTCTCCGCTCGCGCGACGAAGCACGTGTAACTGCAAGCCTGCCGAAGTTGCCTTCACGTACATGTGAACATGATTGCACGAGAGGCACCAGCCGGGACGCTTGCAATTCATTGCTTTACATTTGCTTACTTTTTATAAAAATCTGCCACGTCGGGAAGCAGTAAAACACTAGCAAGTGTTTTTTTGTTTTTTTTTTATTGCTCGGCAACGCTTACAGCACTGTATACTTGTGGGATGTCTCAGCAGCAAAAACACAAGCAGCGAGTTCCGCCCCAACACGTCACATCACATCACAACACAACACATAGTGCCCTTTGTTTGTCCAGCACTTAAAATAAATATTTTTATTTTTCTAAGAATATATGCTCCAAATGTCACTTTTTTAGCTCCGAAACACTGTTTTGGCTGCTCCAAAGGCCACATTTGCTGCTCCAAAACACTGTTTTCGCTGCTCCAAAAGGTGCTCCAAAACGGCTTAGGCCAATCACATCACTAGAAGAAGGAAGACCAGCGGAGCTGGGGGGCTAAGCTCGCCTCCGGCGGGAATCTCTCCGATGCCACGTCACGAGGGAGGGGAGGAGCTTCTTTTGACTCCGCCCCGGCGAGTTTCCCACTCCCCCTCTTACATTTCCGACCCCCCCCGGCGGCGGCAAGTTCCCCAGCGTAGCTCCGATTTTTCCCTACGCTCCGCAGTATTTTATTTCAATCGGGGGGATCGGTGGCCGGCTGGGCTAGCGCACACCAGCTCGGAGCACGTCAAGTGAAAGGTCCGTTGCAGAACCCAGGATGCTGGGTTCAATCCCCACCCCTGCCCGTTTCGATGTTGATGAACATCGTACTGGCGCGCAGTCGTGTAACACTACTGCGGGATGGACGTTAAAGACCCCAGGCTAGTTGTTGTACAGCACTGCATGGCTAAATTTCTCATCTACAGCTGGGAGAATCTTCCCCGTTGAGGCAGAGCAAGTTTTAGGCAGTATCAACATACATACAGCCCAATGTCTTTTATTTAAATCGTAAATGACAAATAAGAATAGGTAACAGCAGGGATGCTAATTATACAAACATTGCTTGGATGTGGGCTAGTTGACTAG